CGTGCGGTGATGTTGTCCCCAAGGGCCATATGTTAAATCCCACCCACTGCCCTCCCGCAGTACGACCTGCTTGAGTAACGGGAATTACACAGAATGATTTCTCTAGAAGAGATCTGAGGAGACGGCTGGTTGAAATGCTTCACTGTGAGTGAAGGATCCCAGCAGCGGAGGGGTAGGGACGTGCTGACCCTTGTCCCACGGCCACTGAGGAGCAGCGAGGGCAGAGACCCGTCTTCCCAGCCGACAGTCGGGCCGGAGCGAGGGCTGGAAGGTAACCACGGGTAGAGACACCATGCTCATGGGTCAGTCGCCATCAGGCGGCCAGTGGACCAGAGAACTACTGCACAGCACCGTCGGGCCCTCGGGTGCTGCCAAGCTTCAGGACCTCGGCCAGTTCCTGGCGCCTCTCAGGAATTGCGGTTTCCCCCCTAAAGAGGAAGTGAAACTAGATAACCTTTCAAGTCTCCAGCGCGAAAAATCTATTCTGATGTCAACAAAAACGTATTAAGTGCCAACCAAGGAAATAATCTCCATGTCACAGTGTGACAACGTTTATCAGATGTCCCAATGTCATGGGAGCCCAGTAAATAAAGGGAACCCCCAGCACGCCCAGGGCACGGGGCGGGGGGGCGCTCCGGAATCACACAGGAGGAGACCCAGGGTGGTTAGGAGTCACCCAAAGGGCAGGCAGGCAAAGAACAGCATGTGCAAGACCAGCGGCACCGGGGGACAGCAGCGGTCAACCTGCCTGAGGGTTCCCCAATACTGACCCCAGGGAACTGGGCTTCATCAGCAGGTAACGGGGAGCCCTCAGAACAGAAAACCAGCAGGTTTGTGTTTTAGGAGGATCACTAGTGAGGACGATGGGCTGGAGGGGACCAGGATTTGACCCGTAGGAGGCTGGCGCAGAACCCAAACCAGGGAAGGCAGTCATGGCTGCGGGCCTCCAGTCCTGAGCTCAGCTCAAAGCCACGTGGTTTTGCGAACAGAGTGACATGTTCCTCGCACAGGGCTCAAGCGCACACATGGTGAATGCTTGCACTGGAGAAACTCTCATTACACGTAGCTCTCTACTGAGGCATTCTTTTTCTTACTGGTTAGTAGGAGCTTTTTATATATTAAAGACATTATTTTTTATGTACCTTACAATTATTTTCCCAAGTTTGTCACTTACCTTTCTTCGTGCTATTTTCAAATGTAAAGTTTTCACCGATCTGTGTACTCAAGCCATGGTTTTCTTCTGTGGTGCTCTTCATAGCATATAACGTTAACCTATACTTACTTTTTTACAAAACTTTTTATGTATGTAGATATTAATCTGATGAGGGAATTCATGTTTAGTTTTCTTTCAGACGATCCAGTCAGTTGCCCCCAAAGTTGATGAACGATGGCATTCTTTTCCCTTTGATTTGAAATACCAGTTTATTACATATATATGTGTAGATAATCCACTTTACTCCATTGGCTTGATTTTTCTTGTAGGAGGTGACTATTGCTTTAATGTTGCTTTGTAAATTTTTAGTGTCTGCCAGGATGGACCCTCCCACCTTACTCTTCCTTGTCAAAATGTTCTCATCTAGTTTCATTAATTTACATTTTCAGGTGAAGCTTTGACACCCCCCCCCCAGTCCCACTGGCGTTCTTGTTGGAAGTGGACTCCGCAGATCGGTTACCCTTGCCTTCGATGTCTCTCTCTGGCTTGGCGCCGAGACCGTTCTCCCGGCGTGGCATGGTGCCAGCCTTCCGTGGGCACGTGTGGTTACCACCAGAAGCTGTAGGGACGTCAGGCACAACCAGAGCACCAGCACTCAGTGTCCAGCCCAGGGTGGACACTCTCTCTGGGACACAAAGGAAAGACGACGAACGGAAGCCGTTTCTCCGGCCTCGTGTCTTCTTGGCTGGCAGGCCCGTCTCGCCCTCAGGACGATCACAGGAACTGAGGGAGACAACGGCGTGTCTTCCAGGAGCTGCAGAATCCAACTCCTGCAGCGGATTACCGACGTTGTGGTCAATCCTCACCAACGCTGTTTTCTTTATTGATTTTTAGAGAATGGAAGGCGGTAGATAGAGAGAGAGAAACATCGAAGTGAGAGACACATCGATTGGTTGCCTTCTGCACACACCCCAAAAGAGGCCGGGGATCGAACCTGCAACCCAGGTACGTGCCCTTGATCGGGAATCGAACCCATGACCCTGTGGTACGTGGGCTGATACTCTAACCACCGAGCACACCGGCCAGGGCAACTCTGTACTATGTAATTACTTGATGAAAATGTCAGGGGAGCCGCCCAGCTGGTGTGGCTCAGTGGTTGAGCGTCGACCCTGCACCAAGAGGTCGCTGGTTCAATTCCTGGTCAGGGCACTCGCCCAGGTTGTGGGCCCAGTCCCCAATGGGGGCATGCAGGAGGCGGCCAATCAATATTCTCTCTCATCGATGTTTCTCTCTCTCTCTTCCTCTCCCTTCCTCTCTCTCTAGAAATCAATAAAGAAAAAGAACATTTTTTTTAATGTCAGGAGCCTCCATCCTCACTGCCGAACTCCTGTTTGTCGTGTAATGATGTTCTCTTTGCGGTCGACCCTGCCAGAACACACTGACTGGCGGGGCCTTGCCTCGTCCGTACATGCGTCTCAGCAGAGCCAGGCATCGTACTTGCACCCCGGAGACCTCGGGCCACATCTAACCAACCAAGTGGCTTGGCCTGAAGTCAAGTTCCAGCTGCATATTTTGGGACATCCCTCCTCTCTCTCTAACAAAACCCTTCCTTCAAGGCCCAACAGAATTCTCACCTCCTCCAGGAAGCCTGCCATCCAGCCAACCCGCACGACCCTTTCCTCCTGTCACATCCACAGCGCACACGACCCTTTCCTATTTCACAACCTCAAGGTCCAGCCATAGCTGTGGTGCATCTTGTGGCCCTTTTTTCCTGTTGAACGTCTCAGCGCGGGGTGGGGAGGGATGATGGTGTGATGGGCCATCTGAGTCTCCAGGCTGCCCAAGACCCCACTACGCCCCGGAATCTTGAATGGGCCTGACTCACACACTGATGCACTTACATGGTCATTTGAGTTTGAAACCCTGATCCGTAACATTCGCTCGAGATTATCACAGAGCACATGCAGGGGGCGCCATATGTATGTGCATGTAACAGAAACACCTACGGCGGCCCACGTGGCCGAGCGCTCACGCCTGCCCGTGCCGTGCGGACGGTTGCATGTGCACCCGCTCACTCTGACGGGCACCCTGTGAAACGGATGCGGTCATCACTGTCAGGTCACAGCTAGGGAGCCGAGGCCCAGGAGGTAAGTAACATGCACAAGCTCACGGCAGCCTGTGGAGGGAGAGGATTCAGAGCCAGGCCTTCAGGTCCGAGAGCATGCTGTCCCCACTACCCTGTAGGGTCACCACATAGGTATGCCGCTCTCCCCACTCGATGGTAACCTCCCTGAAAGAGGCCTGCAGCCCAAGGTCAGCGGGCTCCAACCACTGCTTGCTGCCACGCCCACACCCGGAGGTCTGCAGCCAGGAGGACACCTGCTCCGGAGGGCAGCGTGTGGGCCGGAGGCAGCCCCAAGGACACAGCCTGGGACACAGAGGAAGGCTCATGGTGATTCAGTGTCCTCTGACTTGTATTACAATCACACAATGACCGGCCACCTTCCCCAATGAGAGGCAATCACCACCGCTGATGACAATCGGCTCAATCAGGGGTGTCCACCTTTGGAGTGCCACCCACAATGCACGGCACAGTGGGGCACAAGGACGAGCACACGTCCCGCTGCTGGGAGCTCGCAGGCCAGCGGGGGGCTGTCTGCACCCAGATGTCTCCTTCCCCACAGCTGGTCAGCCTGCTCTGGCCGCACTCCGGCTCTGTCCTCCTCTGGCAGGAATTCGGCTCACAGGAGGCAGTGCGGCCGCCTGCCCAATGGCAGGGCTCTGGAGCCAAAGTGCCTGAGTTCGAATCCTGGTCGGAACACCCACTAGCTTCCCTCAGAGAGGCCAGCGCACAAGGCTGGCCCTGGGCTGGCGTCCGGGAGCTTCCCCCGGAGCGTGCCCTCCCTCCCCCGATAACGGGCGCTCACGGTGCCCACGCTGCTGTGCCAATGATGGGTTCATGCTAAGCACCTGCTCTCCCTGGGAGTCTGGAACCTTGGGACATGCCAGGCAGAGGGTGCCCACGTGCTCAGCCCCCAGTAAAAGCCCTGGCACTGGGTCTCTAACAAGCTCCCCTGGTGAGCGACACTTCACACGGTGTCTAGCTCCCTGCTGGAGGGACTGAGTGTCCTTGTGCCTCCAGACTCTGCCGCGTGCCTTTCCCTTGCCCACCCGGCCGCGCGTCTGCCTGTTTACATCTCGGCCGAGGCCCCTGCACCTGCCGTCCGGTGGGGCCCCCTGGCATCATCGAACCTGGGGTGGGCTCGGGACCCTGACACACCAGCCATGTGACCTCGGGCACATTACGTGACCTCACTGTGCCTCGGTTTCCCCTACTACACAATGGGGGTGATTTAAAAATAGCCTCAATCTCCCGAGACTATGAGGACGACAGGAGTCCCACAGGTCCCACAGGTAAAGCGTTCAGAACGCCTGGCGCTCGGCAGGTGCTTGAGAAACGGGGGGGCGGCTGTGAGGTGAGGGAACCCTGGTGACCCACGAACGAGGCAGCGCCGGGCTGTGACGGCGCGAACTGACCGGCAGGAAAGCCAACGTGCGGACGGTGACCAGCAGAGGCGGCGAGACTGGCCCCCGTCGGTAGGGCTCCAGGCAGGTCCGAGAAGACAAACCACGGCCACCAGCAGCTCAGCGGCAAACACTGCGGGCGGCGGTGAGGGCGGCCACCTGGGAAACTAGCCACACAGGCCACACCGGGGTCCCAGACTGCCGCCGCCGCAGCCCCAGCCCAGCGTGGGCCACCGCGGGCCCCTCCCCCGGCTCTGAGGACAGGACACCGCACAGCACACACGGGCATCGGGGGGTGTCCAGGCTGGACCCTGACTCTTACCTTCACCTTCTCCTCTGCTGTGATGGTGAAGAGAGCTCTCAGCTGCGTTCTGTTCTGGAAGGAAGGAAAGTGTCGGTCAGCAGGTCTGGAGTCGGGAGCACGGGTGACAGCCGGTGTGCTCCCCCCCCCCCCGTGCCTGGAGCTTTGAGGGGCCGTGAGTGCGGGGTCGGGGCTGCCGGGGTGGGAGCTCGTAAGGTCAGAGCTCACGGGGTCAGAGGTCTCGGGTCGGGGTTCGCGGGGTCGGGGCTCGCGGGGCCGGAGGTCTCGGGGTCGGGGCTCGCGGGGCCGGAGGTCTCGGGGTCGGTTCTCGCGGGGTCGGAGGTCTCGGGATCGGGGCTCACGGGGTCGGAGGTCTCGGGGTCGGTTCTCGCGGGGTCGGAGGTCTCGGGGTCGGTTCTCGCGGGGTCGGAGGTCTCGGGGTCGGGGCTCGCGGGGTCGGAGGTCTCGGGGTCGGGACTCGCGGGGTCGGAGGTCTCGGGGTCGGGGCTCGTGGGGTCAGAGGTCTCGGGGTCGGGACTCGCGGGGTCGGAGGTCTCCGGATCGGGGCTCACGGGGTCGGAGGTCTCGGGGTCGGGGCTCACGGGGTCGGAGGTCTCGGGGTCGGGGCTCGCGGGGTCGGAGGTCTCGGGGTCGGGGCTCACGGGGTCGGAGGTCTCGGGGTCGGGGCTCGCGGGGTCGGAGGTCTCGGGGTCGGGGCTCGCGGGGTCGGAGGTCTCGGGGTCGGGGCTCGCGGGGTCGGAGGTCACTACCTGATCTCATTTTATCGGGGACACTCCTCCTAACACCACAGGCAGGCCCAGGGGCCGAGGGTCCCGTGACCTGGGAGTGGGGTCTGAGCCTCATCTCCCACGCCCACGAACAGCACTTTCTCCAGGGGCTGACGTCAGAACTAAATGACCCAAGTAACTAGCGCGCGAGCTGCTGGAGGACAGGGCGGGAGCTCTTCCTCCCGCGTCCCGCGTCCCGGGCGCGCACCTGTGGCTCACGCCACCTGACCGCTGCACTCCCTGCCACGGGGATCAGTACAAAGGTGAGCGAGCCCTGGCCCGTGTGGCTCAGCGCTGAGCCTCGGCCCTCGGACCAAAGGGCCTCAGGTTCGATTCCCAGTCACGGCACGGGCCTGGGGTACAGGTTTGATCCCCAGCCCGGCCAGGGATGTGCAGGAAGCAGCCAATCCACGTTTCTCTCTCACACTGATATTTCTCTCTCTCCTCCCTTCCACTCTGCCTAAAAGTCGATGGAAAAATGTCCTTAAGTGAGGATACAACAAAAAAAATAGGTGAATGAATGGGCTGAATAGCATCCTCCCAAATCCGTATGGTAAAGCCCTGCCTGTATATAGGGTCTCAACAGAAGCCATTAAGGTAAACTGAGGCCATGGGGTGGGCTCTCTAGAGTGACGGGTCCTTGGAGGAGAGGACTTAGGGCACAGAAGGCCCACCATGCAGGCCCAGGAGAAGCCTCAGAGGGGCCCCACCCTGCGGACCCCGGGCCTCAGCTTCCAGCCTAGAGCGTGAAGTACGTTTTCGCTGTTTTGCGCCGTCCGACCCCTGGTGCGTTGTCCCGGCAGCTCGGATGCTGCTGGCTGATGCTCACTATGTGCGAGGCACAGCCTGAGGGACCTGCACCGCTCTGTCACCTTTATGACAGCCGAGTCCGCCCGCAGGGGTAACTACCCCGGGTCATGGTGAGCCGAGGGACCCAGGTTCATGGCAAAGTGTGAGATGCCTGGGGCGGTGCACGCCTCTGGGGTTTGAATCAAGGAGGGAAGAGAGGGCGGGGGAAGGGCAGAGGGGCAGATCGGTGCCTAAGTGTGGGGGCGGCGAGACAGAGGGAGGTGTCGGGGTGGGGAGGACGGAGGGGAGGGCAGAGGGCGGAGGCGGGGGCATCGGGGCGGGGAGGGCGTCGGGGCGGGGAGGGCGGAGGTGAGGGCGTCGAGGCAGTGAGGACAGAGGCGAGGGCACCGGGCAGTACCCACCGATGACGAGCTCTGAAAGGTGAGCAGGGCCGGCAGCATCAGGGTCTCTCCACGCCCAGCGGCTCCGGCCTCCAGCGAGGCTGTGTAGCTGACCGAGAAGGAGTCTCCAACTGCTCAGAGAAGGCACAGGGAGTCACAACAGGAGCCTCTGCCATGCAGCCACGCCTGCCACCCCAGACAGCCACGCCATCGAAAGGTGGCCGAGGCCCATGCCGCAGCAGGGGACCCTTTCAGGTTGCCTTACTGTTAGCCTGTTAGTAGGGCGAGGGTGCCCTCCTAGTGCCCCAGGTTTTCCCTCGGAAGGGGCCGTAGGCAGGTGCCAGGAGCCAGGCCCCCTTTAAGCCCTGTCGTACCTGATGCCCCCACCCAGCACTGCCTGGGCCTGGGGGCAGCGTCTGTCCCGCGATGCAGGGTGTGTTTACTCAGTCTTAGGAAATCTAGAACCTTTCTGTTGTTGGAACCCAGACGGGATCTGTTTGTCCCCAACAATCCCAACCGCACAACTAAAGAGAGGAGCCTGCAGGACGGGCCTGGTGACAGAAGATGCACCTGCTGCTTAGACACCTCCAGGCAGCCGGGTCTGTGGGCGCAAGCGGCCTGGGCCTGCAGGGGGCAGTGCAGGTCACGGGGCTCATGCAGGGTCCCCAGTGCCATGGTCTCTCGCTGGCCCTCGACCCCTTAATTACAAAACTCGATTGTTGGCAGTGAAGGGAGAGCGTCCCTGGGGGGCGGGTTCCTGCTCAGAGCTCCGCTTGGGACGAAGTCAGCGCGGAAGACGCCTGCTCCCAGCAGAAGGCACCTCTGCCATGGCGGGGCCGTACTATCACCCCAAGGGGGGACAGCAGGTTCCGAGGAACTAGTGGACGGAGGAACCCACACGAGACCGGGGGACAGAGCGGCCACCACCGCATGATGCCACGTCTCAGTGCCGCTCCTGGAGGGGAGACGGTGTGAACAGGAGCTGCCACCCGATGCTGCAGATGGATCGAGTCCGCTGCACCCACGAAGGAATTCCTGCCGCTCAGCTGACCTCTCCCTGGCTCTGGGCACCTCGCAGAGACCGAAGGCACTTTGTACACAAACACCAAAAGGAAGGTCTCTGTGCCCCTCCTTTGGGGCAGCTGCCACAGCCCAGGGAAGTGCTGAGGGTGGGGTTTGGGGACATGGCTGAGCCGGTCAGGACGGAACTGGGTGACTACAGGGCTGAGACAGTGAGATATGTAGGTGTGTATGTATATGTGTACTTTTTAACAGCTTTGAGACAGAATTTACATACCATTCAGTTAACCTACGTTACATGTGAAGTTCAAGGAATTTTAGTGTATTTACAGAGTTGTACAACCATCACCCCAATCTAAGTTTAGAATGTGCCATCACCCTAAAAAAAGCCACATGCCCAATGACAATGACTGGCATTGCCACCCCAGCCCCAGTCACCAGCCTACTTCCTCTGGGATAAATCTGCCGTCTCTGGACACTCACAGGACGGAACCCTGCACTAGGTGTTCTTCATGTCTGCTCTCTCTCTCTGAGCAGGCTTTTTGGGGGCATACCTATGTTGGAGCACGGGCCAGTATTTCATTTGTTTTCATTGCCAAGTAATATTCCACTGTGTGGCTACACCACACCTTCTTGACTTGATACTCTTGTGTCCCTGAACTCTGTGGACTTTGTAAAAAGCGAAGCACATGAAAACATGACATTCAACTAACTCGGCTTCTGAGACGAAGGAGCCGCACCCTCCGTAGCTGGAGGAACCGGCGGCTTCCAGGCATCACCGTTGGGGGGGGGGGGGGGCGTCTGGGCAGAAGAACATTTTGGGAAGAAGCTGGTTTCAGGATTTCTCATTTAACTTCAGAATTCTGGACTCCGGATTTTTAAAAACGTACAGTGGCCAGAATCTTGGTCTCAGATTTAAATTCCTTTTGGCTTGAATATATTTGAATTTCAATTTGTGGGAGCTGCAACCCTGAGATTTCCATTCTCCCTGAGAATCTGCAGAAGGGACGCGTCCCTGTCGGAGGATTTTATGCAGCTAACCTCAGGGCTGTCTTTTCACGCTGCGAATCCGCGATTCACCTTGCTGAATGGGATGTGATCAGAATGGGTATTAGGACAAGGGAGACTTTCCAGCCTTGGCTTTAGAGTCTATTTCAATAATGTAATAATACTGAGCCACCTCCAGAGCCTTCACAGGCAGGAAACAGAACTCTCCACTCGCCGCCCTCCCAGAGGACACATTCGGGGGCAGTGGGAGGTGGTTTGGGGGAGCAGGGCTATCCGAGTCCTGGCCGACAGCTGACCCCCTTCCCCAGAGGCCCAGCCACCACCCGCCCTTTCTCCCTGGGCAGTGCCCCGCACCTGACCGGGCAGTTCGGGTGTGCACCTCCAGTCAGCCCACCCTGCTCGTGACAGTGGGTTCATGCAGAAAGCAAGACGGGTCCCGCGGGACCGGGCTCCTGCCCACACGCCGGGGGGTGCCAGCCGATGGCCACGGCCGGTCGGTCGGCGGCCCGTGTGATCGCATCTACGGGCCTTCCGACTTCCCCGGCGTGTGCACAGGGCTGTCCGCCTGACACGCTCTCGTGTGCCCCGTTCCTCGTGTATTCGGACCTCTGTCCACACACCCCAAGAGGGGTTCTGCGTTTTACTGAGTGATGGCGATGTTGGTCATGTGGACAAAGACATACTGGGGCTCACTATAAATCCTACCTTTGTTCATGTTTGAAATTTTTTAAAAGAACAATTGAATATATATAATTTTTAAAAAACACTTTTCCCAAATCCTCCCTCTCTGTAATTTAAGTAACCAATCCAGTTTGTTGGGCGCAGGTATTGGGAGGTGGTCGCTCCTCTGACGCCCCCATGGGAAGTCCACTGTGAGCATCACAGGGAACACGTGTACGTGTCTAAGGACATGCCTGTGGCAGGTCACGTGCCCCTGAGCCTGTCCGCCGTCTCCCTCCCTGACCTGGGCCACTGGGCCTTCACCTGGCAGAAACTTCTTCCTGAAAGCCAGGAACCCCGCCGAGGTCCTGTTCCCAGCCGACTCCCGGAGGATGAGGCCCGTGATGTTGTCGAGCAGATGCAGGTCTGACAGGTTGGCTGCCGCAGGTGTCTGGGTGTTGTTCACCAGCAGGTGCACCTGAGCCGTCTGCGCCACCCTCAGCCCGGACACCTAGGACAGGGTGACACGAGGGCAGATTCAGGGACAATCCCACTCCCGAAAATGACGCTCCAGCTCGACTTGTGCATGGTAGGTCTCTGGGCAGAGAAGGTCCATGCATACATGCATGCATGTCTACATATGTGTAAGGACACACGCATGTGCGCACACGCTCACACTTGCATGCACATGACAGAACACATCTCCAGGAGGACACTGTGGTCTCCCAAAGGTCCTGAGAATTCATCAGGTCTGATTGCAAAGGCCCTAGGAGAGTTCTGACACAGCCAAGCTGTTGCCTGGTGACAGTTTCAAAGTAACTAGGACCCTGAGATGCTGTAAAATCATTCCCGCAGAGAAACATTGAAGAAAACACACCACAGAACCAACGCCAGGCTGGGGAGAGTGTGACAAATTGGTGCCACCAAGAAAAGCAAACAATGGTTCTTCCTTACGCCCTCCTTTTGAAGATTCGGCCCAGACCCCGGCCCAGAGCCTCTGATTGCCATCTGGTCTGCGGCAGCCCCTGAGCTGGTCTCCTGCCTGCAGGCCGGGCCCCTCGGAGTCGGACTGGCCGTCTGACGCGTGGCTGCTGGAAGCCGCCCAGTGGCCAGCAGCCTGGCTCCACAGCCGGCCTCTGATCCCCGCCCTGCCCCCTCTCTAACTCACCTGCCACCCTCCCTAGCCTCCTTTGCTCAGCAGGTCCCGAGAGAAGTGACTCTGGAGCACGAGTGCAAAGGCAGGCTGCAGAGCTGTGTACAGTGCACCGCCACCTACGTGCGCAGGGGGGGGAGGTACGCCTACGGACACTCACAGGTACACACACACTCCCGACTGCAGGCACGTGGCAGGAAACACCTCTAGAAGGACACAGGGCACGCTGGAGCACTCGCTGCATCCGAGGAGGGGAACAAGACCCCTGATGAGGTTGTGCATCAAGGGGTCACGCAGCAGGCTGGGCGGCCCAAACCCTGCACATCCCAGAGCAAGGGCTGCCCTGGGCCAGCTCCCAGACACTGACCTCTACAGCCCTTGGAATATCCTGCGTGGTAAGAGTGTCTCCGTATACCTGGGCCTGGGGCCACACCAGGTAGCTCGTGCAAACACGTGACTCCTGGCGGGGCCCTGGGCCTAGCTGCGCCAGGTGACCTCCGGAGGGCTGGGGACTGAGTGACTGAGGCAGGTCCATGGCTACTCCGCGCCGACGTGACCCGCCCACAGTAGGAATCCTGGCCACCAGGGCTCCGGTGAGCGTCCCTGGCTGCCATCACACGTCCCTGGAAAACTAAACGCTGTCCACACAATTCCACCAGCAGAGGACAGTGGGCAGTGTGTTCTCCTCTGCTGACTTCAATCCGTGTCCTTGTGACGTAATGAACTGTGACTCTGAGCACATCCGCTCTGCTGAGTTCTGAGTCCCAGAGAACCACGGAGCCTGAGGGTGGGCTTGGGGACCCCACCACGAGGACACTGTGAAAAGCCACCTCGTGGGATTACAGACCCAAAAGACATTAAATGACTCTTTAAACTGTCAAGTACCACATCAATGTGGAAACTTGGTCTAAGGGACCACAGTGGATTTTCACTAACAATAATTTAATTGTTACCAAAAATCTTAGCCCCAGTGAAATAATACATAAATCCCTCGTGGGTCAGGTCACACACATGTGTCCAGACCTGGCAGAGACGCCTGTGACCTGTCCGTTGCTGACCACACGACCTCACTACCGTACGGGCAGAATCAGCGGGCAGAATCAGCAGCCCCCCTTCAGGCACGGCCCCCACAGACTCACCACTGCGCACTTCTGAAAAATCACCCCGTGTGCGGTGCTTCCTAGACCATCTCTCGAAACGTCTCCAAACTGCGAGAGAACATAGAAATTATTAGAAAACAAAACACATGTCATACTACACACATCGAATAAAAGTACAAGATGAACTTTTAAGGGGGGTGAAGAAATTACTTCTGCTGGTCTAGTAACTGCCTTAAGTCTCGAAGACTTTTTAAGAAAGAGCATTAAAGGACTGGAATTTAAAATCTACGAGGAAAGAAGAATGTGGATGTGGACAGGGGAGCCTCTTCCTGGTCTGGGGGTGAATGTGAATGACACCCGTTGTCATAGGGGTGCCACAAACCAGGGCTGCCCTTCCAGCAGGAGGCGTGTGAGCAGAGCCGTGGACAAACCCTTTCCTGGCTGCTCACACGGCCTGGGTGTCGGCTGGTGGGGTACACCAGCCCCACACAGCAGTGAGGGAGGGAACGTGGATCGAGGTGCACCAGCTGGCTTCCCCTGAGCTGGGTCCCTCATCAGTGTCGAGAAGTACCCAGATTTGGCCTCCTCCAGCCCTGTACTGGGTCCCCTGGACAGATCCCAATGGAGAACTAGGGCTCACCCACCAAATACCAGCCCCCATTGCCCCTCATCCTCACAATGTGTTCCTTCTGTCCTTGCCACATGCCCTCTGACCCCAGGGCCTGGCCCCCACGGAACGGATGCACCCTTTACCTACCGTACTCTGAATCCCGGACCAGGCATCTCTCGGGGACATCAGTGATCATAACAATGGCTATTATTTCCCAGGTGCCAGCCGTATGCCCATCACTTTACATACCCCAATTCTATTTCTCCCATCTCACAGACGAGAAAACTAAGGCTCCTGGAGGTTACCTCACTTGCCCACGGTCACACAGGCAGGAAGCTTAGACTCCACCTTGGCCTGTGTGACTCTACATCCTGTGATTCTTCCACAAACTCGTCCGTCTCCAGAGCGTGACTCTCCGGCTGCTCAGGTGACCAAGGACGCAGGGGAAGCGCTGTTCCCGAGGCCACGCTGACACCCGCCGCAGCATCAGCCCACCCTGACCTCTGCACACCCTACCCTCATGCTCCTTGGCACGCCAGGACCCCGGCCAGTCTCAGAGTCGGGGACCTGGTGGCTGGTCTTCGATGCTCACGCTGCTGCCTGCAAGCCACCACCTAAGAAATGCAGCTTGTGGAGCAAACACGGGCAGGAGGGCCGGAGGAGCACCCAGGTCAGCTAAGGGCACCCCTAGTCTTCCGTCTGCGCAGAGCCGTGGACAAACCCTTTCCTGGCTGCTCACACGGCCTGGGTGTCGTGGTTTCATCCTTGACTCCTCTCTGTCTTTCTCTCAACCTGCACCCACTCCCAGCAAATCCCACTGGCTTCACCGAGCCTTCAGAATAAATCCACAACCCCACAGCTTCTCAGCAGCCGCTAACCGCCCTAGTGCCGCTTGTCTCCATCACCCGCCTGGTCTGCAACTGCCTCTCCTTGGTCTTCCGGCTCCCACCGCGGCCCTCTGTTCTGCGAGGATGCGCTACTAAGACGGGCAGAGCACGCCAAGTCCCTGCTCCCAGGGCTCCCGTCTCACTCGGGGTAACCACCAGAGTCCTGGCCACTGACGTGTCAACGAGGCCTTTCCGCATCGCCCCTCCCCTTCCCCTCGCCCTCCGCTGGGGCCACACAGGCTCCATGCTGGTCCTGGACCACGCCGAGCACACCCGCCCATGGCCTTTGTCCCGTTACCCCAGTCTGGGCAGCTCGTCCAGCACGGCTTTGCCCCCACTCCTTCCACCCAGGGCTCTGCCCAGCGGTCTGCCTCCCAAGGCGCCTTCCCTGACCACCTGTCGAGAGGGCGTCACCGCCATCTCTCTCAGTCCCCTGCCCACTGTATTTCTCTGTAGCCGGAGCCATCAACGGCCGCACCACAGAGTGACACCAGTGCTCAGGGTCTTTTCCCTGCCCCGAGAACGCAGGTCTCTTAAGACTGTCCTGGTCCCTGTATCCCAAGCACCCAGAACACAGCCCGGCACCTGGAGGACTTCATACACACCGGTGATGACGGCCCACTCAGAGGCCTCTTGTCCACACCACCCTTGGCTGCTTCCCTCCTTCCAACAGAACTCCCCATGGTGACGGGAGTGTCCTGCAGTCTGGGCTGTCCAACACAGCCGCCACTGGCACAGGGGACACTGAGCACTTGACACGTGTACATTTGATAGCCACGCGTGGCTCTGGTTGCTGTACTGGACAGAGCAGCTCTAGACCACCTGGGAAACGGTGGCACCTGCATACGGGTTCCCCTTTGCAGAGGAGACCGATAATAAGTTAACAGTGAGCCCTTATGTTGAGGTCTTCAAAGCACTTTCTTTTTTTTTTTTTTTATCCTCACTCGAGAGCATTTTTTTTTTTTTTTTTGCATTTATCGTCAGATAGAACTGGAGGAAGAGAGAGAAAGAAACATCGATGTGAGAGAGACACATCGACTGGTTGCTTGGCCACCCACACGACCCCATCCGGGGCCGGGGACAAACTGCAACCAAGATACATGCCCTTAGCGGGAACCGAACCCAGGTCTCTCTGGTCCGGGGGCCAACGCTCTAACCACTGAGCAACCGGCCAGGGCACAAGGCACTTTCTTGCAGAGCCTAGCAACAAACTTCCACCGGAATGTTCCGGCACTGGCTCCCCAGAGGGAAGGCCAGGGAGTGGGCTCCGAACTGGGGATCAGGGCCAGAGCCCAGGGCTCCCGCAAAGCCGGGCCAGGTACTTCCCACCTTGGGCGGCAGGAGCAGGTAATGGGACTCTGAAATGTCCCGTCAGGGTACTTTTGGAAAGCTCAGAAAGTTGACAGCATTATTTTTGTCTTATCTGGTAAAAACCTAAGAACCTATAATAGAAAGTGAATATCTCATTCAAGAGACCTAAAAATCTAGATCAACTGTAGCAGATGCCCTGGGGCTGCAGGTAGAGAATCTACTGGACCAGGGACCTGGGTGCTGGGGAGGGCTGGAGACCCCCAGGGCGGCGAGAGGCCAGACCACTGGACAGACACTCCTGGGACAGAAGCCTGGGTTTGCCAGGGGCCTTGGGGGTGAAGGGGGAGGGAAGCGGTCAGATGGATATACCTTGGACAGATCACCTGCAGCTCTGGGGAAAGGGATCCGAGAGCACACATTAGGGGGCTGGGGGAGACCCAGAGACAACAGTCACTAAAGGGGGGGAAAGAGGTGGGGACTGAACTCAGGGGCGGGTGGGGTGGGGGAGGGGCAGGTATCTGAGCCAAAAGGGAGAAAAAGGCAGTAGGACTGGTGACCAGTTTGGGGACCAGGGCCGGAGCCCAGGGCTCCCGCACAGCCTGACACTGAAATCTAGGGTGACAGCCGGGCTCTGTGCCTTCCCCAGTTTGGGACCACAGCGGGAGGGGCAGGGCCAAGAACGAAATGGCTAAATTCATCAGCCTGGAAGGGGACTGCGGTCACTCCAGCCAGCACCGCCAACTGCCCTTTGTGCTGCTGTTAATCCTCACGCAGGATATTTTTCCAGCGATTTTTAGAGGGAGTGGAAGTGAGGAGGGAGGGAGGGAGAGAAACACCCACGTGAGGGGGACACATCCACTGGCTGCATCCCCACATTCCCCTGCACGGTGCGGGGCGGGCGGGGTGGAAGCTGCAACCCCCCCACGTGCTCCGGACCTGGCACCGGGGGCTACTGCCCGGAGGGCTCCCCTCGTGAGACACTCTGCGCCCCTGAACTCACCAAACCTCCCGCCCTCCGCTGCGCGCTCCCTTCCTGATAAGTTCCCGCCCCCGGAGCCTCCCACGCCGTGGACGGAGCCCACTCGCCGAGGCCCGTGGACACGGAGCCCACCCGCCTAGTGGCCGGGACGGGCCGGCCCTCCTCACCTGCGCGGTCCGCTCGGGCCCCGCCCCGGGGGCAGCGGGGGGATCCGGGGGCGCCTGCGCGCCGAGGGCTCGCCGGAGGGGACTCGGGCCCACGGGGAGCCAGCCCCGGCCCCCGGGCCCGGCGGGGAGCGCCAGGGTGGCGGCCAGGAGGCCCCCCGCCAGCACCCAAGCGGCGCGCCCCGGGGCGGCCGCCGCGCCCATCGCCGCCCAGGCCGGCGGCTCCACACTGGCGGGCGCGGCGGCGTTGCGGTCGCTTCCGGACCCCGGACCCGCCCCGCCCCGAGCATGCCCAGTGCGAGCCGCCGCGGAAAGTTTTCTGGAAGAACCGTGGCTGGAGGCCCAGGCCGGAGTGGGCGGGAGCGAGTCCCGATGCGCGGCGGCGCCGAGACCCCACTCGGGTCCGCTAGGCCCACCGAGGCTGGGCACGACCCGCACGGACCCGGTGGCTGCCTTGCTGCCAAAGATGCCAGGGGCTCCCAGTGCCCGACACCAGTGCCTACGCTGTCTCAGTCTTAGCTGAGACCCACCTTTCCTGAAGCCTTCCCTGGCACACACCGGCTGAACCGGGACGCCCCAGGCCCCGCTCCCTGGCAGAAGCTTATGCAGAGGCAAGGCCGCGTGTCCTGGAGAGCCCGAGGGGACAGCAGCACAGAGGGGCTGCAAGGGAGCCGGCTGCTCAGGGCGGGGAGGGACAAAGGGGACTCTCATCTCTGGCTGGGTTCAGTTCCGCCCAGTTGGGCACCCACTGCCTGAGCCCCTGCTGAGGATTAGCCCCTGGACCTGCCCAGGCAGCCCCCACCCCCAAACACACACACCCCCAGGGGAGGGTAGTCCAGCTACAGGAGGATGTCTGGCGGACCAGAGAGAGGAGTTGGTGTCTGGAGCCAGGAGGCAGCCGCTGAGCAAAGTCCCCGATCTCGAACTTTCTGCGGGGACAGGCTGTGCCTTGCTCCGGAGGGAAGAGGGGAGATAAGAGAGCAAGGCCTGGCAGATCATTTCCTCTGCTTCCTCCTGCCCCTGTGGGCCTCCATACAGTTCCCACCTGTTGCTGGGGAGAAGGCTCCTCTCCTGCAGCCTTCCTGCAGGGCAGCCTCAGGCCAGGAAGCCTGGCTGCTGTCAGTCCCCTTCCCCCTCCAAGGACAGGCCTTCCCTGGCTTGACCTGGACAAGATGGTGGGATTTGGGAATCTGAGAATTTATTAGCTAAGCTTCCGTCAGAGGGTGCCTGGCAGTGTGCCAGGAACCAGACAGCCAAAGGCTAAATCCTAGCACATTACTGGACCATCAATTCTATTTGACAATGAGTAATTTAAAAGATGATTTTAACATTCAAGCAACTTTATAATACAGTAAAATGCAAAGAGCACTACATTTTTAAAACTAAAGCTTGAGTCACCAAAGAAACAGGCAGCCTAAAGCAAGGACTCCAGGTTATTGCCCCCACAGACATTCCCAGGAGCCTTGGAGATGCTTCCAAGGAAACATTGAAGAAGCACTGCCTAGCGTAGTGTGAGCCCCGAAGCTGGACAGACACGGGCATTGATACCGCTGTCCCATTTCCTTGTGGCAACACCCTGAGCTAGTGACTTTTGCTCTTTAGCTGTCAGTTTCTTCGTCTAGAATAACTAAAGCTGTAACATTGCTCATCCTGCCCACCTGGAAGGGTTGATGAGGAAATGATGAAAAACTTGAGCTGCACGTTGGAGCCACTCGTGGTGGTCCCCCGGCCCGGCCCTCAGGGGGGATTGAGCTCCAAGCTGTAAGAGTGTGTGTACCTGTGTGTACACATGTGTGTTCGGCGCTGTACCCTCAGCTCTTGGGACAAAAGGTGGCACCTAGTAGCTGCTCAGTAAACGTTTGCTTAAAGAAAGAAGAGATGCTGAACTCATCTGGTTGTTTTTCTCCCCACAACAGCCTGAGAGCCTCCATGCCTGACCTTGTCTGGCTCTTCGCTGCCTGGGGCTGGTTGGATCAGCAGGTTTTCTGCAAATGCTGAGGGACGGAATGACCAGGAAGGGCTGCATTTCTCCTGGGCCTGGTGTAACGATCTCTCTGTCCACCGTCTCAGAGGGAAGCGCTGACCATCCACGGAAGAAAAGGCATTAACACAGGGTCCTTTTTTTCTTTATAGTTGAAAGTATTACAGATGTCCCTCCTTTTTCCCCCATTGACACCCCACCCTCTGCCTTCACCTCACTGTTGTCTGTGTTCATTGGTTATGCATATATGCATATAAATTCTTTGGTTTATCTCTTTCCATTCCCCCGTGCCACCCCCCTTCCCCCCGAGGTGTGTCAGTCTCTTCCCTACTTCCATGTCTCTGTATCGATTTTGTTCATCTGCGTATTTTGTTCCTTCTATTCCACGAATAAGTGAGGGCAGCCCACCACTGTCTCTGAACTTGAGGCAGTGGTAGACTGCACCAGCCAAGGGTGGCCGAGGGTAGAGGTTAGAGGCAAGGCTGGGTCGGACCTGGTGGAGTCACCTGACTCGTCTAGCTGCCTCGTCCGAAGATGGGCGGATAATAGTACCCATCTCAGAGTGTTGTTGAGAAAGTTACTGAGCTCGTCAGGCTAAAGGTTTGGCATATGCTGAGCGCTCGATAAACGTATCCGAGCAACACCCCCTTCGTTGCTGGGGACCCCTTCTCCGCTGGAAGTCCAGAGGCCCGGGTAAACCAAGGATCCTCCGAAAAGTTCTCCCGCTGAAAACCGCGCCTCCCGCCGGGCATGCTCAGTACAAAGGCAGGGCTGGGGCGGGGGTGGCTCAAAGTTTTGGGCGGAAGATCCAGGCTCCTCCCTCTGGCTCAGGCAGCGCAGGGACCCCGGAGAGGCGACGAAGGAAGGAGACGGCACAGGCCGAAAGTCGGGGAGCGCGCCCCTGGCCCCTCCGGGCTCCGAGTCCGGCGTCGCCGACCTGGCGGGGACCCTGCACGGGGGCCGTGCGCGGCGGCCGGAGGGATGCGGCCGGGCCGCGGCCTGAGCGCCCCCGATGGCCCGCAGCGGGGCGGCCTGCGGGAGCGACGCGCGGCTGCTGCTGGGCCGGGACGCGGTGCGGCCGGCGCCCGCCCTGCTGGCCCCCGCCGTGCTGCTGGGCGCCGCGCTCGGCCTCGGCCTGGGCCTCTGGCTCGGCTGCCGCGCCGCCCGCCCGCGGCCACGACATCAGGTGGGTCGGCCGAGGGGCAGCCGGGATGTGGGGAGCATGGGAAGCGGTCTTCCTCGGACCCCGGGTGGGGCTGCGAGCCCGGACTCTGCGTCCACTGGAGCGTGATCCCGGGCTTGGCGCGCAACCGGTCCTGCCCCGGGCTCCCCTTGTACTCCAGGAGGAGGCTGGAGATAGGATTTCAGAGGGAAGCGCAGAGTGACAGAAGGGCACGGTCTTGGGGTCCCCCAGAAGTGCCTGCTCCTCCCTTCCCACTCCGCCCTGTGATGTGGACAGCCACCAAAGTCCTCCGGCCTCAGCCTCCTCATCTGTAGCACCAGGGGTTCGGACTGGAAGCTGGCAGGGGCCCAGCTCAGCATGGTGGACAGGAGGGCTGGGGATCCCCGCCCCTGAATGTCCAGTCTGCTTCCTTGCGCTGTGCATTACCTAGGTAGCCTCTCCTGAGTCCGCCTGCTGCATCAGGTCGCCCGCATCCGTGCCCTCATTCCTTCATCCCTGCAGTAAAAGTTCGTCAGCACCTTTCTACTGCTAGCCCCTGGCCAGGGCTCTTAGATGCCCCCCCAATGAGCAGGATAGACCCGCCCTTGCCGCTGGACAGTCACAGCCTCCAGATTACAGTAAACATTTCATTATAACAGCTCAAGACTTCTGTGATGGGGAAATAATAGCTGCACTTATTGAGTGCTGACTGTGTTCCTTCTTGTCCTCAGAATGTTCTGTGTACACCATCCTGTTCCTGTTTGTGACTGCGATCCTTTCTCGTCTCTGAGGATGGTACACTTGTTGACGTTTTCTTTTCCGCTGCAGTATGTTTCCTGCTTGCCTTTTCTTCTGCTTGTTTTGTGTTTGTCTTTCATAGTAGAGTCTGTAATCAAGTGGCTGATGACTCTTGGCCTCCTGGTCATTCTTAACTGGGGAGCAAAACACTGATGCTCCCCTGTGAGGTGGATGAGATTTTTCTCCTGAAGTCTTTACTGTAGGATGGTCCAACTGGGGCTTTCCTGGCAGAACCCCTGCAATGGGCAGCTATGATGCTAAACAAACAGCCCCTACATCTCTGGCTTCATCATCTACCCCTCTCCACTCCACCCGGATTGCTCCAGCCACACAGCTTCCCTGGACACCTGAGCATGCTCCTGCCTCAGGGCCTTTGCACTGGCTGTGCCCTCTTTCTGGAAAGCTTTTCCCTAAGATACGTGAATGGCTTGCTGTCTCACTTCATCAGGTTTCTTCTTGAATGCCATCTTGCCCAAGAAGACGTCCCCTCCTAACGCTCTCTGTTCACCCATCCATTGTTTTCCTCTATAGCACTTGTCACCTCTGATATACCTTGTATTTCTTTATTTGTTTACATCTTGTGTCACTAGAAGGTAAGCTCCACGAAGGCAGGGGCTTTGTTTATGTTGTTCCCTGTGTTCCCAAGGACTAGAATAAGGCTTAACGCTTAGTAGATGTTCCGTAATAGTTGCTGACTGATTCCTGGATAAACAACTGCTGTTTCTTCAGTTCAGAGATTATATCGTGAGCAGCCAGTGGTCCGAAAGGCGATCGATAAGTGTCTCTGACATAATAGGATTTTAAATACAGTGGATAATATTGTTCACTGCAAACAGAGAATTAGCAAACACTGAATCATTGCCCTGAGGGGAGAGACAGGGCTGGGTTTCTGCAAGACTAGTCACATTTTCATTAACCAGTCAACACATAGCCTTGTTTTATGTGTGCTTCTGTTTAAAGACACGTTATTTAATATGTATTAGGGTTTTTGTGTGTGTGTTTTTTTTGTTGTTGTTGTTAATCCTCACCTGAGAATATTGTTTCCATTGAATTTTAGAGAGAGTAGTGGAAGGGGGAGGAGGGGAGAGACAGAGAGAGAGAGAGAGAGAGAGAGAGAGACATCATGTGAGAGAGACACATCAATTGTTTGCCCCCCACACATGCCCTGACCAGGGCTGGGGACTGAACCTGCAACCCAAGTACTTGCCCTTGATCAGGAATTGAACCCGTGACCCTTCGGCTTGTGGGCCAATGCTCTATCCACTGAGCCACGCCAGCCAGGGCTTAATGTGTACTATTGATTCCTTAAGCTTGAACTCGGGGCCAACAGCGCTGTAACTCAGGCCTGCACGAAGCTTGTCGCCCACAGGTGTTTTCTCCCCAGGCACATCACAGTCTTCCTGTGCTTGGGACCCTAGGCCACACTGCAGTACTACACCTGGGGGTCATTTTAAACAACAGAATCACCTACAGAAAGCACAACATTTCTTTTTAAGAAGGCTCTAAATAGGATACAAAAAGGACACTTGTTTGCAGTCTGAGCTGAACAAGGGGCGGTTCGTTCTCAGTTGGAAATTACACATCAGGGATCTCAAAGTTTTCACCGTTCTGCACACGCCCAGGAATGACCACAACAGTGCCCCAGCTGTTGCTTTGGGGGGTTAAAATAAAGTTTAGCAAATGGGTGAATTTGCAAGTGCAGAATCCGCACAGCATGATCACCTGTGGTTCATAATAGAGCCACTCGGTACTAAGGTAATCTAACCTATTTTCTGAAAAAGCATCCAATGACGTTATTGGGAATAACAGAATTAATGTTTATGTGCCTTTCTCGAGTTAAGCTGTTAAGCATTAAGGAGCTCCCAGGAATGAGCTTTGCCCCAAGTATTGCCTCCAGGGCGCGCGGACACGCCAAGAAGGGCTCTGGTAGCTTCTCGGGCTGACACCCGGACAGTCTGGAAGGAGGTGGAGTGGCCCCCAGGTGGGAGTGAGAGGCGGGGCAGTGCACACCCGGACAGTCTGGAAGGAGGTGGAGTGGCCCCCAGGTGGGAGTGAGAGGCAGGGCGGTGCACACCTGGCCCAGCAGAAGCCCAGAGATGAGCAGACCTAGCTGCTGGGGTGGGAGCCCAGTGGCCACAGTCCCAGGGCCAGTGGGCTGTCTGACTTCAGTGTGTTCCCCCCATTTTGGATTTTAGGTAGATGACGCTCAGAGTCTGCTCAAGAATTTGGAGTCTAATGTGCAGACCCCCTCGGAAACCGGCTCCCCATCCAGGATGAGGAAGAGAGGAGCACGGACTTCAAAGGAGGCAGAGGCTCCGGACGTAAGCAGGGTGTGTGGGTTCACCTGCCCGGGTGCAGGTTGGGAGTCCTACAGCCCACTGCAGCACAGTGTCATCCAGATGAGCCTCTGACAAGCTTGTGTCCCAATAGGCTTCTTTTCTGTGGCATAATTTACATACAGTAAAATGCGCAGGTCTGGAACGTTCCATCACCCTGCAAAGTTCTCAGTGCCGCTGTGCCCCTCTCCGGTGTACGCCCCACCCCCAGCCCCTGCCCGAGGCAGCTGTCCTTTCCAGGGCTGTGGTCGGCTTTGCTGCTGCAGACTTTTACCTGGGCCTGCATTCCCTCAGCGCCTCGCTTCTGAGATTCATCCGTGCCTCGCACCTGTCAGTCAGTCGTCCTCCGATTGCTTAGCCCGTCCCGGGGACGGCCACGGCGTGGCCCTGGCCGTGTTCGGCCATTCTGAATAAGGCTTCTGTGTATGTTTGCATATAAGTTTGCTTGTTTGTTTTATTTCTTTTAAGTAAATACCAAGTAAATATCTAGGAGGAGGAGTCCTGAGCCTCTCACAGAGATGTTAAAAGATGGGTTCTTCTTGTACCTCCTTCCCGGCCACCCACTCAGTCCAGCCTGAGCCCGCCGGTGGGGCAAGGCTCTCTGCTCAGAATCCAGGATCCTGGAACCCAGTCCCAGCTCTGCTACCTGTCTGCTGTGTGATGTTGGGCAAGAAACATAACCTCTCTGAGCCTCCCAGCGTTATGCTGACAGTGATCAGCCAGCTCCTCGAGGCCACCCATGAGTTACCTCGGTGATCATTCCTGCCACAGAATAAGTGTGCCAGAAACATTTGCAGGGAGCCAGGTCCTTCTGCCTCCCCAGGAGGCTAACTCATTTTTTCTACCCAGTAATGCTTTCCCTGTGAACTGTTTGGCTACGCCCGGGCTTTGCCCATGATCAAGCTAATAATTGCCAAGACCTCAGTTAAAGATCAGCCCGTTCCAGTGACTGGCTGGCCCAGATGCCCCTGCCTTCTGCAGACTGAGCCGGTCAGAGAATGTGCATGGGCCTGCCCTGCCAGGGTGGTGGACCTGTGACTCCCGTGTCCTCTGATGCAGAGAGGAGCCAGGAGCATACTTTGTGCTGCTCCCTGCACGGGCTCTGTTTGGATAAACAGCTTAGGTCAGCCGAAAATAAACAGGACATTCCAGAAGGCTCTGGGGTGTGTGACTCCCCAGCCTCAGCCCCTGCTCTCTGCATCCCGGCCCCGTGTGCAGGGGGACTGGACGGCTCCCTGCGTCCCGGCCCCGAGTGCGGGGGACTGGACGGCTGTCTGCGTCCCGGCCCCGTGTGCGGGAGACTGGACGGCTCCCTGCGTCTCGGCCCCGTGTGCGGGGGACTGGACGGCTCCCTGCGTCCCGGCCCCGTGTGCGGGGGACTGGACGGCTCCCTGCGTCTCGGCCCCGTGTGCGGGGGACTGGACGGCTCCCTGCGTCCCGGCCCCGTGTGCGGGGGACTGGACGGCTCCCTGCGTCCCGGCCCCGTGTGCGGGAGACTGGACGGCGGTCTGCGTCTCGGCCCCGAGTGCGGGGGACTGGACGGCTCCCTGCGTCCCGGCCCCGTGTGCGGGGGACCGGACGACTCCCTGCGTCCCGGCCCCGTGTGCGGGGGACTGGACGGCTCCCTGCGTCCCGGCCCCGTGTGCGGGGGACTGGACGGCTCCCTGCGTCCCGGCCCCGTGTGCGGGAGACCGGACGGCGGTCTGCGTCTCGGCCCCGTGTGTGGGGGACGGGAGGACCGGCTGCTTGTGGACACTTGAGTGTGTCTGCTGAAAGAACACCCTGTGTCGGTGCGTGAAATGACTTCTCTTTTTCTATAGTTGCTTTCCCCAGTTTTCTGAATAATTGCATTGCTTCGGCTGCAGAAATTTCCCACTGAAATCGGCGCTACATCCAGTTTCCTGAGTAGTTGGGCGGCTGCAGCTGGGGAGATGGTCAGAGCCCGGAGGCTCTGAACTGCAGGAGAGCTTGGAACCACACACGGTCCTGCTCCGTGGCGGAAGCCTGGTCGCTGCCTGGTCCACGTGCTCAGGGCTTCTGGGCCCTCGTCCGCTGACAAGTGCCGTGATCGTCCCTGGGGCCAGCCCTCGAGGGGGTGGCACTGTCCCGGCAGTCAGATGGAAGAGCCTGGGCAGTTTGAGGTTTCCCGCGTGGCTGGGGTGACACCATCAGCTTGGACTGCATTTTACCGGCACAGACTCAGGGCCCGCCCCCCCCAGGTCCTGCTTCGTCGGGGCCTCTACGTCCCTTTCTTCTCATCATTACGTTTTCCATGTTCAGCGTCTCCCCTGTTGGAGATGAAGCCCTGGAAAGCAGAGACCTTCCTTCCTCTTATTCAGCCTTCCACTCCGTCCCTCTGCTCTGCTCGTGAGAGTCGACACCGTGCCCTTTCCGCGTCCACCTCGTCTCCTGGGGCAGGTGTGTCTCCACCGGAACATCCGCCAGGGCGGCGCCCCGGGCCTGCGACCTGTGAAGCCACACGGGCTGCGTCCTGTCGGGGTGCCCCGCTTCCCGGACTCTGCCGTCCTGAAACTCGTCATCCCGTCTGAGGAGGACGCCGTGCTCGGTTGTACTGAGCCCCACAGATTACGCGGCCGGTTCTGAAGACAGCCCTTCGCTCCTGCTGCCATCCGTCACTTTTGTGCTAAAACAGCGCCAAGCAGAGCGAGACTGGACGCTGGGGGCTGGGGCCGTCCCCCCCCTCGGGTCGAAGGGAAGCCAGAGAGGACCGCGGGCTGGGCAGTGATGGCAACTGCATGTTTAAAGGTCATTCGATTGCCCCGTGGAGGACGAAATGAAAGGCTTGCACCTCTACGCCTTGGTCCCCCCCCCCCACCCCCGGAAACAGGGATCTGAGTTCAAACCCCAGTTCTGGCATTTGTTAGCTGTGTGACCTTGGGCACATGGCTTCTCTGTGCCTCATCTGCTCTATGTGAGAAATGGAGACGATAACCGCTGTGGCCGGACCCTTGAAGCTCAAGAAGGTGACACACGTTGGTGGTCTTTCCCATTCTTGTCATCCAAGGCTGTTTTTGTGAGTCATGAGGGATGAATAGAAAGGACAAGAACCGGGGTCCTCGCCCCTCCCTGCCCTGCTCAGGGGACATCATGGGAAACCCTCTGGAGACACACAGGAGCCCAGATGCTGTCTCAGGTGCCGTTTCAACCTCCGCATCATGAGGAAGCGGAAAATCTGTGTGTGATCTGCTCATTGTCATGGGGTTCGTCCCCGAGGTTTAGCTGGAAAGCACTGAAGTAGAAGTGGGTGCAGTTTTCACCCACCAGCCTCTCCGGAACCGCTGGGTGCAAACTGTTCGCGGTCTGGGCGCCAGGCTCCTGCCTGCCTGCCTGCTCGCCCGCGTCCGCTTGCTGGTTGCTTCCAAAGCATTTGTCCAGCACCGACTTTCCCAGAGGCAGGGCTGACCCGGCAGGGCGGAGGCACAGAGGTGTGGGGGTGCAGAGCAGGCTGGGACAGGAAGGCCCCGGGGAGGCGGGTCCTGAGAGGGCCTCACGGGCTCCTCTCCGCTGCTGACCAGTGCCACTCCTGTCCTGTGCCAGCCTCTCTGCCGGGTGCTTCCCCTCCTGGGTCCTGGGGACAGAGCACCTGGGCACTGTCTGGGGAGACCAAGCCTCCGGGAATGAAAAGACTTGCCCGACCTCTGCTTTCTGAGTCGGGGTCTAATCCGAAGTCCCGCGCGTGTATTGCCACGTGGAGTGTTTATACCCGTGGCGATGCTAAAATTATTCTGCGTGAATTTCCCACTACGACATGGTTTACAGTTTTTAGGAACACTCTTGTTGAGTATTGCGATGTTACTTAAATCCTGATTTCTTCCGAAGGTGAAGACTTGGAATTAAATGAATGTACTATACAATATCTGTCCGTCCAAAACCTGTCAGTACATTCATCCTTCCCCCATCCATCTATTCATGTCTCTCCATCTATTCATCTGTCAGTCTGTCCATCCAACCATTTGTCCATCTGTGCGTTCATCCATTATCCATCCATCCATCCATTCACCTGTTCGTCTATCTTTCCAGCTGTCTGTACATTCCTCTGTCTACCCATTTGTCCATTAATTCATTTATTCATCCATTCATCCATCAGTCCCTATGTTCATTCACCTGCCCATCCATCTATCCATCTATCTGCACATTTATCTGTATACTCATCCATCCACCTCTTTTTCCATTTATCCATCCATCCACACATCCATCCATCTGTCCATCTGTCCATCCTGCCCATCCATTTAGCCATCTATCTGTTTGTTCATCTGTCCATCCTTTTGTTTAGCATCTGGTCCATTCATCCACCTACCTATTCACCCATCCATCACCCATCCTTCCTACCAAGCGAGTAGTTAGCTCAGAATGTGCCTGCCGCCCCTTCCCCGGGCCACTGTTCCAGATGGGAGGTGGCACTCTGGAAAGGCGTGGTGGTCTACCCGTCGTCGTACGGAGGGCCCCCCACGCCACCTGTTCTTCTTCCTGCCCAGGAGCGCGAGCCGTCGTTCAGCAGCAACATCACCGCCTTTGCACTGAAGGCCAAGGTCGTCTATCCCATCAACCAGAAGTTCCGGGTGAGAGTCCTGAGCTCCGTCTTGGAAACGCAGTTATCCAGTAACGTGCTAGAGGTCGGGGGAGGAGTCGGGATTAAATGTGCAATTCGGGTTCTACGTGAGGGTTTTACGGCAAGACGTTTTAATGGGGATACACGTGAGGCTTTGTAACTGAGCGACGCTTTGGGGCTGTTTGATGACAGTGTGGTCAGGGTCTGCCCATGGTACATCCAGGTGAGGAGTTACCATAGGCTGTTGTATCCCGGGGACACCAGGGGGCAGCATCCACCCTGTTCGCTTCACACTAGTACACACACGATACTGACTGACAGTGACCAGCACCTCGTTCACAGTCCCTGGGACTCAGGCCAGCAGCTGACACTTACTGCCACTCACTGTGAGGCAGTCAGAGTGCTAGGCATTTGTCCTGCATCCGGCATTTCCCGTGAGATAAATAATAATGTCATCTCCACTTTACACAGGAGGAAACTGAGGCTCAGGGAGGCTAATGACCTGCCTGAGGTCACAATACAGAATGTGGCAGGGCCAGAGTCACCCCCCCCCCAACCTGGCTACAGGTCTTACACCTGAAGGCGTGAGTTCTTTCCTGCGCCAGGAGTGTTGCAGAGAGCAGGGTGTCCCGTGGTGTCCCGTGGTGTCTCATGGTGCCCGAAGGAGCCCTTGGCCGGTGAGACGTTCTGTGAAAAAAAACTTCCTGGTCACAAAAGTCGAGGAGAGTGCCGCCTGCTGTCCTGGTCACCGGACTCAGTCCCAACTCCCACACCTGCTGTATACTGCGGGCCACTTCCCGACTTCTGGGGCCCCAGTTTCTTCATCTGTGGAGTGGGAGAAATGTTTTGAGGGTTAGGTCGGACAGTAGACACAAGGACTTAGGACAGTGTGTGACGTCTAAGCACTCAGTCCCTGCTCAGTTTTCTCGATTATCACTCACTTCTGAACAACTGGAGCATGTCGAAGGCTCTGAGAATTCCTGCACCAAAAACGTATTCCGCCTTGTTTAACACAGACTTTCCCCAATTAGACTTTCTGTGGAACGCTTACGTGGCCAGAAACGACAGCGTGTGGCACCGTTGCCCGGAACACACATTGGGAGCCACTTCCTTCCTTAGCTCTCTGGGCGGTGGGTGGAGGGGCGAACCCCCAAAGCAGGAGCATTTCTTCATCATCCGCACCCACTGCTGGGCAGCCTCCAGGGTGGCCCCTGGGGATGACCCAGGGTCAGGGGAGCATCGGCTCACCCTGGAGGCTGCCCAGTCTGGGTGGGGGACAGTGTGTGGTATCAGGCTAGACAGCAAGGACCAGGAGCCAGGGAACCTGGTGGGGGCTGGGCATCAGAGGAGGTAGCCTCTGCGGTCTGTGTGGGGGAAGGGCTGCTTCGCCCAGCAGAGGAAGGGTGTCCCAGCCTCTGGGACACAGTCCTGCTCCCGCTGTACCAGGCTGCGACCTCTTGTGGTCATGGCAGGAACTGCATTTCTTTGAGCCCATCTGAGGGCCTGGGGTGCCACCGAAGGCCTGGGGGCAGAAGGTGAAGTGAAGAACTAAGTGGTCAGCAGGTCAGTGGATAGAGCAGGCCCCAGGGTCTGAGAAAGCAGTGAGAAAGGTGGGCCTGGACAGGTGGAGGAGGTCAGGGGGGCCGTCGGGCACTGGGGGACGTCAGGGAACAGGCAGACTCATAGCTAAGGGGCAGGAGGCTGGTGCAGAGTATTGGCCTCTCGGGACAAGAGAGCTGTGACACGGGTCCACTCACAGCCTCCCCCAGCCTGCCCTGCCTGGCTGTCCTAGGAGCCGCCACCATGCATGAGGGGCAGGGGGTACATGGGGGGTGGGGGGTGCATGGGGGGCGCATGGGGGGCGGGGGTTACCGAACCACACTCCCGATGGTCACGAACACTAAGAGTCCAATTTCTCTTCTGCCGCCCAGCCTCTGGCCGACGGTTCCTCCAACCCGTCTCTGCACGAAAACTTAAAGCAGGTTGTTTTGCCCCACCAGCCGGTGGAGGCGTCGCCCTCCGGCAGCCTGGGGAGCCTGAGCCAGGCCGAGAAGGGCGAGTGCAGCTCTTCCTCCAGCATCCACTCGGCCACCAGCGACGACAGGTGCCTCGGCCGCGCCTTCCTGCGGGTGCGCTGCTTCCCCGAGGCTCTGACCTGTGAGAGGTAAGGGGCGGTGGAGGACCCAGGCCCGTGGTCATACTGTCCGAGGAGGAAACGAGGGCCCAGAGAGGTTAAGCAACTCGGCCGGGGACACACAGCCACCCAGCGTCTGAGTGGGACCCTGTGTTCCCCTGTCACTTGCCATGTGGTGTCAACCACGTGGGGGTTATGGAGTCAGACTGGGGCCTCGGGAGAGACTCGGGGCAGCCTCCTGAATCGGTGGCGTGCCCTGGGCATGGCATGGCAGCAGCCAGCACTGATTAAGCCCCCGTGTGCTGGGCAGAGGGCTACACACTTCGCAGGGGCCACTTAATACCTGAGCGCAAGGATCAGGTCCCTGCCGTGTCTCTTCTGCCTTTGGGAGCCTGGGACAGGTTCAGTGGTGAATAACCGGTCATCAGTCAATGAATTAGTTCCTCCTAATGACCTGAGCAGGTGGGGGCTATTTCTGTCCTCATGTTATGAAGAATAAAACGAGTCTCCAGGAGGCTGAGTGACCTGCCTGAGGTCACCCAGCAGGTGGTGATGGAGCCAGGTGTGACCCCTCCACATTATCTCTGCTGCCCGCGCTCAAAATCAGCGAACCACCCAGCCTAGAGCAGGACTCCGCGTGTGGTGGGTGCCCGAGAAACTCAGCCTGGCAGGGGTTTGGGGGTCGTTCCTCAGGCCTGTCTGCTCCGAAGTTCAGTGAGTTCAAGGGGCCCCACACACGGCCCAGGGCTATGGAAAGAGTGGGCTCGAACCCTGAGCCTGGTGAGGGTCCTGAAGGTGGACTTCACTGGACCGGAGCCTCATTGACTTGGCTCAACTCGCCGGGCAAGGCTGTTCCTGAGCCTTTGGATTTAGAGGACTTACAACAGTGGGCGAGTGTAGTCGCTTAAACTGCATTTGCTTACTTGGGAAAAAAGGGCCAAGGCCTTTATTTACACCCTGCCTCTTATCTGCCCCTGTGACCGTGTGACCAGGACTTGATTTCTCTGACCCTTGATTTCCTGAGTCAGTTTCCTGTCTGTAAAATGGGCACAAGAAAGTCTCCATCACAGCACTCAGAAAGGTGACGTGACACGGAGGAAGTGTTAGTTTAATTTCTCCCACCTGCCGTCTCTTCCTGTTTTGCCCTTGATGACTTCTGGTCAGGAGTGGGTCTCACACAGCTCCTCTGATTCCTTCTCGCCAACCCTGGGTGGCTGTTAGGAATCTGCACGTTGCAGAATTTAAAACCTGCCGCCGGGCGCACATGGCTTGGGCTGAAGCGGGATGCGCTCACACACTGTGCCTCTCCCGCCTCCAACACTCTCAAGACCTGTTTCTCTTGCCGCTTTGCAGCGCGGACCTTGACTTGTGCATCTACAACCTTCACTTAAAGGGCCTGCTGCAGCTGGACACGGCGCTGAGGCAGGACGAGCGCGTGGTAGGTGCGGGGGCGGTCACCCTTCAGGGCTCAGGGCGGTACACGGGCTGCGTCTGCACTGAGTCCCAGGGGTGCTCGGGCGCTGGTGTGGGTGACGGTGAGGCCAGCACGGCGGGGAGAGAGACTGAGCTGAGGCATAGACCCCAAAATGGAAAAGCAGTTCCTGCCTGCTGGTGGGCACCAGCTCCGCTTTACCCAGAGAGAGGGCGAAAGGAGAGGGGAGAAGGACAAGGGGCATAGGGAGAGGGGGGAGGGGAGAGGAGCGAGGGGATAGGGAGGGGGGGAGGGGAGGAGAGGGAGAGGGGGGAGGGGAGGCAGGAGGAGGAGGTGGATGTAGAGGGAGGCTGATACATTGTTTAAACCTTGATTTTTGTTATGTTTCCCTTTTTGGCAATAGATGTTTATTCAGATTTTTAAAATGTGCCTCCTTGACCTTTTTCCAAAAAAGAAGTCTGATGATGAATTCTACCAGAAGGTTCTTTCAAAACAAGAAAATGTAAGTCTTCAACCTGTATTTCTAGTAACTGAAAAATATTTATTACAGTATGCACTTTTTTAAACACAATATAGAGATATAAAAGTATGTATACGTACATAAAAATAACTGTGTATTGTTATTTATTATTATTTTTTTTATCCTCACCCGAGGACATTTTTGCATTTATATTCAGATAGAGCGGGATAGAGAGAGGGAAGGAGAGAGAGAGAGAGAAACATCGATGTGAGAGAGACACATCGAGTGGTTGCCACTCACATGACCCCAACTAGAGCCCTAGAGCCTGGGACAAACTGCAACCAAGGTACATGCCCTTAGCAGGAACCGAACCCAGGACTCTTCAGTCCGTGGACCGACGCTCTAACTGCTGAGCCAAACCAGCCAGGGCTGCTTTTTCTTTATTGATTTTAGAGAGAGAGGAAGGGAGAGAGAGAGATAGAAACATCAATTGGCTGCCTCCTGCATGCCCCACACTGGGGATCGGGCCCACAACCTGGGCATGTGCCCTGACCGGGAATCGAACCAGTGACCTCTTGGTGTATGGGTCGATGCTCAACCCCTGAGCCACACCAGCCGGGCACAATGTGTATTATTAAAATGTGAAAAAATACTAGAAGCAGAGAAAGGATAAGAATGTTGGTCATATTCACTGTGTAAGAGAATCACCGTTGATGTTATTTCCTGCTCAAGCTTGGGGTGTGTTTAAATAGATCATTTTCCAGGACTTCAGAAGGATGGAAAGATACCATTTCATTGTTTTCTAAGTCTGGTCTATTTGGGGGGGGTCGGGATGAGGACTATAGAAGAAAAGAATCCATTATTCTAGAGGCTCCACGTTCAATAAGAAAAACAGATTTCCATCATCAAACCTTAAACAGGGCAACCCCCAGAGCACTTCATTATGGCTAAGAAATATTACTTGATAATGTGGAAAATGAAGCATTTCTTTTTCTAGAATTTAAGGAACATTATATTTTTTTTCTTTATTTTCTTTCCTTTGCCTTTTTCAGGACTTAGAGGAACTGGAAAAGGGCCTTCAGGTCAGACTGTCAAACACAGACGTGCTGGGCGCTGGGGACTCTGAGTACATCACCCTGGCGGGAGTGGAAAAGAAGGAGAGAGAATATTCTGAGCAGCTCATAGATAACGTATGTGGTGGGGCTTCTTCCCTGCAGATAACCGTGGTCGGGAGACAGCCCAGTTGGGGAGATTAAAGAAGTGGATGGTCAGCTCACTTAGCTCACTGGGTTCCACAAATGAGTGAGGTCGTGTGACACTTGTCTTTCTCTGACTGGCTTATTTCACTTAGCATAACACTCTCCAGGTCCCTCCATGTTGTCTCAAAGGATAAGAGATCCTTCTTTCTTACAGCTGCATAGTACTCCATTGTGTATATGTACCACAGCTTTTTCATCCATTCGTCTACTGATGGACACTTGGCTGTTTCCAGATCTTAGCTATTGGAAATAGTGCTGCTATGAACATAGGGGTACATGCATTCTTTCTGATTGGTGTTTCAGGCTTCTTAGGGTGTATTCCTAGAAGTGGGATCACTGGGTCAAGTGGAAGTTCAATTTTTAATTTTTTGAGGAAACACCATAGTGTGTTCCCTAGTGGCTGCTCCAGTCTGCATTCCCACCAGCAGTGTGCTAGAGTCTCCTTTTCTCCACACCCTCGCCAGCACTTGTTGTTGGACGATTTGTTGATGGCAGCAAAGGGGGAGGAAAGAAGGGACATCTGTGATATTTTCAGCAATAAAGATAAAAAGAAAACAAAGTGGATTCCCGGGAGCCAGGAATTCAGTTTCCGAACTAAGCAATTGAGAAGGTGTAATTAAGGGACAGAATTTACAGAGGGGTCTTTTTATCTTGTTAACCAATTCCCCTTGTTTAAATTTTAGATAGACCTTTTTAACATTCAGAGCAAAGATTGCTCTAAGCCTGTGTCCCTACCCGCCCCCCCTCCGGGCACCACTCAGAAAAGCAGGTTCAAATCCCAGTGACGATGGCTCCCCTCGATCATCTCTCTTGCCTCTGAGTTCCACCACCCATTGTTCATGTATTATGTAGTAAACAAGCGTTTCCTTGACAGCCAGGCGTTGTGCTGGAGACGGGGATTCAAAATGAACTTAGACCTGGCCCCGCCCCAGAGATGCCGGCCAGCCGGGTCCAGGCAGGGCTGGTGGGGAGCCCCCGGTGAGCCGGAGGACTTTTGGGTTACAAATGTGACAGGGAAGCACTGGAGGGCTGAGGCTCAACGGAGAGAGACTTCGTTTCCCCAGGGCTAGGAAAGTCTTCGTAGAAGAAAGGACCACGGAGAGGCTATTTGGGAGGAGTGTGGGTGCTGGCCAGCGGGCGGCAGAGAAGGCAGCAGCCAGGGGGGCGAGGAGCGGGCAGAGCGAGGATGCAGAGACTGGCCCTCGATCCTCATCTCCTACCAGGGATGGGCAGGCCGGGCTGCTGTGTGGAGGTCAGAGGGCGGCTCGGTCCCTTTCTGGTTAGAAGGACCACACAGGCTGCTGTGTGGAGGTCAGTTAAGAGCTACTGGGCTACAAGTGTCCATCAGTAGACGAGTGGATAAAAAAGCTGTGGTACATGTACACAATGGAGTACTATGCAGCTGTGAGAAAGAAAGATCTCTTATCCTTTGAGACGACACGGAGAAACCTGGAGAGTATTATGCTGAGAGAAATAAGCCAATCAGAGAAAGACAAGTATCACATGATCTCACTTATTTGTGGAATCTAATGAACAAAATACGCTGATGAACAAAATAGACCCAGAGACATAGAAATGGTTCAGACTAACAGACCTAGAGGAGGGGGGCAGGGGCAGGGGTGGGAGGGGCGGGATAAACCAAGGAACTTATATGCATGAATGTGTAACCATGGACATAGAAGCTTGGCGAGGGGGATCGGGAGGAGGGTGTCTGGGGGGGGAAAAGGAGAAACATCTGTAACAAAAATTAATTTAAAAAATAGAGGAAAAATAAAAAGAGCTACTGGGCTAGTGGCGGTGGGAATTTCAGGAAGGTGTTTGCAGTGGGATGGAGAGGTAAGAATGGGAGCTTACAGGGTGGGGTGCAGTGAGGGGGGAGACAGGGTGCAGAGTCAGATGCACGGACATGAGGGCCCAGCTGGAGAACAGGTTGGGAGGGGAGATGGTGAGTTCCGCCTGCTGATCTGGAGACAGGGCTGGGGACGGACCTCCACCAAGCTCAGGCAGGAGGACATGGACAGCATGTCCTTAGGAGGAGATGGTGAAGGGAGGGTACCCTAAGGTAGTGACATCTCATCCCTGCCTGCATTCTCAGAGGGTGCTCTAAAGTTTTGGTGACCACCCGCAGAGGCAACACCTCTGGTCCACGAATGTGGGGAACAGGCAGAGAAAAGAGCTTGGACCCAGCCCGCAGTTAGGGAGCGAGGGGCCGGGAGAATGAAGGACCCGGCCCGCAGTTAGGGAGCGAGGGGCCAGGAGAATGAAGGACCCAGCCCGCAGTTAGGGAGCGAGGGGCGAGGAGAATGAAGGACCCGGCCGCAGTTAGGGAGCGAGGGGCCAGGAGAATGAAGGTCCTAGCTTGCAGTTAGGGAGCGAGGGGCCCGGAGAATGAAGGACCCGGCCGCAGTTAGGGAGCGAGGGGCCAGGAGAATGAAGGACCCGCCCGCAGTTAGGGAGCGAGGGGCCAGGAGAATGAAGGACCCAGCCCACAGTTAGGGAGCGAGGGGCCAGGAGAATGAAGGTCCTAGCTTGCAGTTAGGGAGCGAGGGTTGAGGAGAATCAAGGTAAGAAGGTGGTGCAGGGACTTGAGGAACCAGAAGAAAATGATGCCACGGACACCAAGGGAAGTCCGGGATTTTCAGGATAGACAGAGCATCCTGGCTCCCTGGGGTTGGAGGGGAAGCCACAGTGCTGCTGGGTGTGCACTGCATCTGGGTGTGCACTGTGTCTGGTGTGCACTGTGTCTGAGTGTGCACTGTCTGGGTGTGCACTGTGTATGGGCGTGCACTATGTCTGGTGTGCACTGCGTCTGATGTGCACTGTCTAGGTGTGCACTGCGTCTGGGTGTGCACTGTGTCTGGGTGTGCACTGTGTCTGGGTGTGCACTGTGTCTGGTGTGCACTGTGGGTGTGCACTGCGTCTGGGTGTGCACTGTGTCTGGGTGTGCACTGTGTCTGGTGTGCACTGTGTCTGGGTGTGCACTGCGTCTGGGTGGGCACTGTGTCTGGAGAACACTGTGTCTGGGTGGGCACTGTGTCTGGTGTGCACTGTCTGGGTGGGCAGGAGGTCATGGCTGAGAGTCCACATCCTCTGAGAGCAGCCGGAAAGGAGGGCGTCTGATGGGCGAGGGGCACAGAGCAGGTGTGAGCTGCAGGTGGTGGGAGGTTTGATGGGATGAGCTGCTGCCCTGGCGCAGGTAAGGGTTTGCTGAGCTGCCCCGAGGCCCCAACGCCCCAAGGCAGGAGACCAAACCTTTGAAGAGGTGTGGGCATTCTCCTGGCAGTGCCCAGCTCTGGGAGGCAGGTGGCTGGACTTCGCCAGTTTCAGGTTGTCATTTCCCTCCACCTTCAGCCAGAGTGGCAAGATTGCAGTGGGCTCTGGCCACCCACCCTGAGCCCTCCATGCCTGTCCAGCGAGAAGTGTCCCTTTAAGCGTCAGAGAGGTGGAGCCCAGAAGAAGCTCCCAGCGGGCCTTGAACCAAATTTGCCTCGTCCCATTAGCTCAGCGACCTGGGGCAAGGGCTCCCTTTCTGAGCCTGTTGCTCGTCCCCAGCGATGCTCGGTCCAGCCGTGAACTGTGCGATGCACAGAGCCCGCGTGCCCGGGGACAGAGGAAGCCGACAGCTCCAGGCACCGCTGCCCTCCGTCCCGAGGCCGCACGCAGCCCGGCATTCCCGGCTCCTCCCGAGCCCCAGCCGCCCCTGGGGGACGCGGAAGGACACAGACTTTCAAGCGGAATGTTTCCACGGTCCGCAGCATCTGCCGTGGGCTCTTTTGTGCTCTTGGGACAATCATGTTAAAACGGTCATTCGTGCTTCCATTTTCAGGACACACTTAATCCTGTTAAGGTCTGGGCGCCCCTCGAGCACACTGTGGAAATCGTGCCCGTCCCCCGACCCCCACACAGGAAGCATAGCCTGTCCCAGCCTTTAGCTGTTCAAGCTTCGAGATCGGGTGCCTTAGCAGCAGCTCCCTGCTCTTTGCTGGAGAGCTACCGGGAAACTGACTGGCACCTCTGAGCCAGAAGGAGGGGCCTCCAGAGAACATGACCACCGCTGAGATAAACTGGCTCTGAAGTGAGAGTGGTTTGGAACCTGTTTGTGATACGGTGTGAATTGTGATTCCCAACCATACGGCTCTTAGTTAGATACATTCTCCCCCACCTGCTCCCTCTCGTTGCACAGATGGAAGCATTCTGGAAGCAAATGGAAGACCTCCAGCACTGCCTCGTGGACCAGCTGAAGTGCTCCAGCCCCAAAGCCCGGCAGCTTGGGATGATGGTGGCAGAAAGAATGATCTCGGCCGAAGGGCTGCTGCATGACTCCCAGGACCTGCAGGCTCTGGTACTGCTGGGGGGCGGGGAGGGGACGATCTGAACTAGAGATGTGGGGTCAGGAAGCTTGAAGTGCTGTACAGGTTGTTAGGTTCAACACCTTCCTATTGTAGATGGGGAGAGAGAGCCCAGACAAAAGCAATGAACCCATCATCCTTTCTTCCATCCATCCATCCTTCCTTTCTTCCATCCAGCTATCCATCGTCCATCCATCCCTCTAGCCCTTCCTTCCTTCCTTCCTTCCTTCCTTCCTTCCTTCCTTCCTTCCTTCCTCCCTCCCCTCCCCTCTCCTCCCCTCCCCTCCGTTCCCTTCCTTTCCCTTTCATTATTTCTTCCTTCCATCCATCCATCGTCTATCATCCATCATCCATCCATCTTCCTTCCTTACTTCCTTCTCTTCCTCCCTTCCTCCCTCCCTCCCGTTATTCCTTCCATTCATCTATCATCTATCATCCATCATCCATTCTCCTTCCTTCCTTCCTTCCTTCCTTCCTTCCTTCCTTCCTTCCTTCCTTCCTTCTTTCCTTCCATCCATCATCTATCATCCATCCATCCATCCTTCAATTCATCCATTCTTCCTTCCTTCCTTCCTTCCATCCAACCTTCCATCCATCCATCATCCATCCTTCCATCCATCTCTCCCTCCATCCATCCCTCCCTCCATCCCTCCCTCCCTCTATCCCTCCCTCCCTCCATCCCTCCATCCCTCTGTCCCAGGTGTGAAGATGCTGGCCAGCTCCATGATCCTGCAGCACAGACCACTATTTCTCAACCCTGGCTGCACATTGAAATTATCTGGGGAGCTTTAAAAAGTGCTGATGCTTGTGTCCCAGATGAGTCCCCAGCCCAGAGATTCTGATTTAATCAGTCTGGGGTTTTTAGAGCTCAGGTGACCATGGCGAGCAGTCATAGTTGACACCCACGGATGTGGATGGAGCTTTGGTTTCCTCTCCTGACTGCTTCATGAATCATCTAGGGAGCTTTTAAAAACTGTCTGTGCCTGGGCCTCATGGCCAGAGATCCAGTCTGATTGGTTTGAAGTAGAGGCCCTGGTCTTGCTGGTTTTAAAACTCCCCACACAGTTCTAAGGTGTAGTTAGGATACAAACCATCTGTGTAGAGGAAGCTGCAAATCCGACTTTGAATCTAGGCCCAGACACTGGGAGCTGTGTTATCTCGAACTGGTTACCTAACCTCTCTGAGTTCCAGTTACTCTGTTTATGAAAGAGTGGTCCTAGGAGTTGTCACAGACAGACCCGGGGAAGTGCTCGGTGACCTGTAATACCCTAATCACGGGGGGATTTCTATGTGGAGGTCTTGGGCTCAACCTACTGAGTGCAAGGCCCAGGGCATGGTGCACCCGTCTCCCCTTCCTCTGACCTGGGGAACTCATGCATTACATTTCAGACCTGTGCACCTGCCCGGGTGACACCTGGCTCAGAAACCTCCAGCACCACCCTGCCTCGGCTCAGAGGCACAGCTCCTCAGACCTCAGAGCAGGTCCTGCAGGGCCAGGGTGGACTCCTGCTGCTTCTCCTCAACCGTCTCCTGCAGTGTGGTCTGCAGCCCGCAGCCTCAGCATCCCCTGGGAGCTGGGTAGAGGGGCAGGACCTCCCCCACACCCCGGTCACTGGGGCATGTTAACAGTGCCCCTGAACACACAGCCATTGGAGAACTTGGTATGTGCTTTCCCATCCTGCACACGGGTCCCCTTTTCTGCCTCAGCTGAAAGGTAGGCAGATGTTATGTTCACAGTGAAAGAAAAGGACCTGCTGCTGACTCACCTAGGAGCCCACCCTGTCTGATGGTGTCACCGAGCTCACGCCCCAAGCTTCCTGGTTTGCTGTCCAAGCCTCTTTGAGCTGGGTTTTTAATTTGATTGAGCTATTGATATGGATGCTCAACAAAGAGAAAGACTTTTCCTCTTCTTTTTATTTAATTTTTATCCTGTCAGCAGGATATTAATGCAGGAAAAAGAAATGTATCCTTAGCTGACTCTGGCCCAAGTATTAGCCAGAAATTTCCAAACAGGAAGAATGGAAGGGATTATCCAGGTTCTCAGTATGCTCGTCTTTCAGCCAACATTCAGCAAGCACCTACTGTGTGCCCACATTGTTACAGAAATGGTATTGCAGAGTTGAGCCAAAAACCTGAGCACATACCACCATCCTGCCACTTATTAGCTGTGTGACCTTGGGCAGTTACACAACCTCTCTGTGACTCCATTTCATTATCTGTAAAATGGGATCAGAGTAGCCTCTGATCTGAGAGTGTTCAACAGTAGACTACACGTGAGGCCTTTGGAACAGAAGCATACATGGGAGTTGTGCATGTGTGTTCATGGTTCAGCTGCTGCAGGCCACAGGTCAGCAGACAAAACAGACATAAGCTAATCTTCGCAATGATGCCTGGAAAGGGCTGCAGTTTGTGTCTGTGCAGAAGGGGGACGGATGAGCTCTACCTGCACCTGCACATCCCCCACTGTAATTGTCTAGGAATATGTTGTTGATACACTCTAGAGGAATTTCCACTCTTGGGCCGGCATCTGAGCATTTTGGCCGGGGCAGGTGGACCTGGAACGGAACAGAGCCCTGCAGTAGGCCCTAACAGTCATCAGAATCAGTCTCTCAGGACGCTCGAGAAAGATGGCCGGCACAAGTGACGTGAACTTGCTGTGGATGGTGGAGAACAGTGCATCCCAGAGCAGTGTTGTGCTTGGGTTATTGTCTCAAATGCATTCCACACTGTCATTTATGTCACCCTCCCAGAACCTCTGTAAATGAGGGGTCAGAGGAGGACGCAGCTCTGAGGGGTGGAGCCAGGTCTGAGCCCAGGCACTCTTGAGGACTCGGCTACATTCACTCTCAGAGCCACCATGGCCTTGCCGGATGTCCCTCTGGTCCTCCTGTCCTCCATCTGGCGCCCCTCTGTTCAGGCTCACCCCTCCCTGCTCCCATCTTTCCTTGAATATAAACCCAGAGGTTGCACTGTCCCTATGAGCTGGGAGGGCCTCAGGTGCTACAGCAGAGATGTGCCTGGGCCAGGGCAAGGGCCTCCTGTCTGCCACACAGCACAGAGCAATTATCCTCCCACGCCCTCTAGTGGTCATGGCTCCTGGCTGCTGGCAGATTTGTTTCACTGGGGGAGAGGAAGGTTCAAAGCCCCTGTGCCTTGGACTACTTGTGTGGCCTTCGGGGATAAACCTCAGCATCCTTGTCTGTAATTGGGGGGTCATTATTCGTGTCGAGAGAACACAGACCAGAGCAGCTCAGCCAACAGTGAGGCCCAGGCTGGGCCGTGGAGGCTCAGACCAGGCCCTGCCTCCAAGGTCTGTCAGGTTCAGTTCCTTCCAGACAGAAGCACGTGGGCGGTGGAGCAGAGGAGGGGTGCGGTGGGGGTGCGGGAGAGCAGAGCCTGTTCACATGAGTAGGGCCTGGCCAGCAGTGGAGTTAGTAAGAGGAGGCAGGGAAGGTGCCCGGGAGGAGGGCCCTGCGTGTGCAAAGGCCTGGCAGAGCGGCCAGCGGTGTCTGGGCAGCCAGGAGTCAGCAGGAATGTGGAACAGGGCCGGGGACTGAGCCAGGCCTGGTCCTGAAGGGCCCTGGAGTCTGGACTTGGTCTGAGGGCAGTGACGAGAGGGTTTGGGCCAGGGGACCACAAAGCCTGGTCTGCATCTCAGAAAGGCCCGCCTGCCATGAGGGGCGGGGCCCGAGGGGGCAGAAGCGCAGGGCAGAGTGACTGTGGGTTGGCGGGAAGGGGATAGAGAGGGGAATCTGAACGAGGCAGGATTGCAGGCCCGGGGGAGAGGGGGCCGGGCGCACACAGGCCTCTGCTGGTGCCAGGTAGCGGTGGGGCCGTGGCGAGGTGGGAAAGGACACAGGCCTGGAGCTGTAACGTGATCCACAGGCCACATCCCTGCTCCCTCTGTCGTCCTGGTTCTCACTCAACAGTGAGCATCTTCTGTCTGAGACGGAAGGACCAGCGTGCTGCCCTGCAGGCCCCTCTGCCTCTGTCAGCATTTCCGTGTGGGGGAGGCGTTTTTCCAAGAGTGGCGTCCTAAGGAAGAGTAACGCGGTAGTGCAGGGTGGGGCCAGTTCTCCAGAGTCTCCCGAATCCCCAGCGCTCGGGCTCTCGGGCACAGAGGCCAGGACCCCGGTGGCCGTTGTCTCTCCCCGAGCTGGGGCAGCCAGAGGCCCGGTGGGCTGGGGGAGGGACTGCTGTAAGAAAGGTGGGTTTTCCAACTCGGGCTTCAGCGCATGTGGGATTCCTTCCCAGAACAGTGGCCCTCCGTGGAGCCCTTGGGAGTGAGCACTGTGCCTGTGTGGCCTGGCGACGGCCTCGCCACGTTCCCACGAGGGACGATGGGGTCCCCATTGAGGAGCAGACACAGGAGGCTCAGAAGGAACCACTTTGTTTAGGGAGGCGGGGGCCAGACAGAGCCTGCTGCTTTTAACAGACCCCACGGCTGAGCACCGACCCCAGATGTCCCAACCTAATGCCCGGTGTGTCTCCTCTCAGGACATCCTGGAGAGAACATTGGGCCAGGTGCACATGGCAAAGACGATCGAGTTCCTGAAGCTGCAGATCCAGGAGGAGACCAGGTGCCGGCTAGCCGCCATCTCCCGCAGCCTGGACCTGCTGACCGTCCAGGGCCGGCTGTCCGGGCGGCAGAAGGAGGAACTGTTGACCCAGCAGCACAAGGCCTTCTGGGAGGAGGCCGAGCGCTTCAGCAGGGGTGAGCGAGCCTCTGCAGGGCCCGGGCCACGGCTGTGGGCCGTGGGGGGCAGGGCTGGGGGACAGCACTTGCTGCAGGTGTCCCAGTTCTGCCCTTGGGAACCAGTCACTTAAATCCTCTAGCCTCGCTTGCCTTCCCCATAAATCGGGGTGAACAAGGGCTGCCTCCTTGGTCAGGGCTGTCCTGCTCCATTTCATGGTCGGTGATTCCGGCTCACAGAGACCCCAGTGTCCGGCCATGGAGCCACTTGGAACACGCAGGAGGCGAAGGAGGCTGGAGATGCCCAGAGGTGACATGTGTGCCCCTCACTGCAGCCACAGCCCTGCATGAGTCACGGGGCCCTGCAGCGGCCGGGTGGGGTGTGCAAGGCAGGAGAGGGCGCTGGCGTAGCGTTTCCCACACACTCCTGCTCCTGGGCCGACTCTGGAAATGTCAGCTAAGGGCTCAAGACACCAGGGTACCCGAGACCGTCCAGTCAGACCTTCAGTGGGGCCCACAAGGAGGAACTCTGGCCTTTTACCTGCAGGGCAGGTACCACCTCTCGCCAGCTTCGTCATCCCCTGGGCAAGAGCCCATGGTGCTGATCCGAGGCTGCGCGTGCCCCGGGCATGGACGGAAGCTCAGTCGGGGGCTCTTGGGTCTTGTCGGGGCGTCTCTAGGGCATCTGTGTGCCCCACAAGTTCCCAGCAGGTTCTGACACCCACACAGCCTGCACCCCACAGGGCCAGCGAGTCTCCGGGTGTCTTGGTCATGATAACAAGATGCCACAGACGGGGCTGAACGACCGACATGTGTTTCTCACAGCTCAGGAAGCTGGACGTCCAGATCAGTGTGCCCGCTGATTTGGTGCCCGGCGAGGGCCCGCTTCCTGCCTGCACACAGTGCCCTCTGTGCCCTCACGTGGCAGAGAGGCCTCCTCACATGCTTCCTCTTCTCAGGCACCAGCCCTGGTCAGGGCCCCACCCTATGACCTCATTTAACCCTTATGACCTCACTTAACCCCGCCCTTATGACCTCATTTGACTATAATGACCTCATTTAACCTTTATGGCCTCCTTAAAGGCCCCATCCCCAAATACAGTCGCATGGAATTTAGGGCTGCACCATATGAATTCGAGGGGACATAGTTCAGAGCAACTTGGGAGCAGGGCGGGGTCCCGGTCACCGGCAGACCGCAGCCGGGCGCTGTACTTGGCATGCATGCCGCCGGGACCAGGTGACCCGGTGGGCAGGGTCTGTGTAGACCCCAGTCCCTTTCCCCCAGCTCACCTGCCCCAGACACAGGGACACTGCCCTCGGACCGCCTCCTGGGCTGCTGCTCTAACCACTCACTCTCGTGCTCTCTGAATCCCAACCCCCACCTGGAACAGCACTGTGCTCCTGCAGACTTAGGTCTGTCCCCTCCTGTCACCTGTCCTCCTCGGGCCACCTGCGCCTCCCTCACTCTCTTCCCCAGGAACCGCCTCTCGCTCGTCTCCGGTCAGGTTGGCCGCCCGCCTGCGTAGCCGCTAAAATGTCTCTGTGGCACCCTGAGCCTGGGCCCAGGGGGGTCCCTCAACCAAAGTGGGGCCATGGCTTGGGAGGCGCCACCCCCAGCCCTCCGGAAGCACACGTGTGGGAATGAACAGGGGAAAATGAATCGGAACTCGCCCCTGCCGTCGCCCCCTCTCGCAGACACGGCCCGCGGCGGGTTCGGAGAGTCACCTGCGGCTTGTTTCCACTGCAGAGTTCGTCCAGCGAGGCAGAGGCCTGGTCCAGGCGGCCCGGGTGCGCCAGGAGGAGGGGATGGCCGAGCTCGCGCTGGCCCAAGCCGACGCACGGACGAGCCTCCTGGCTGCTGCGCCGCTGACCGCTGACCCCGAGGAGCTCCTCCAGGTGACCTGCCCGGACTCAGCTGCGCGTCGCAGGGCACACTCCTCCCGGGAGCAGCCACGCGGGCCGACCGTGGTGTGGCTCAGGCCCTGTCCCTGCATGGGAAGCGGGAGGCTCTGGAGTTCAGCGGACGGGAGGGCAGTTCTCGGCCTCCCGTGGGTCAGCCGGTGACCTGAGTCCCCTGGGTCCCCTGAGCGCTGCATCCCCAGCTGCTGGCCAGCGCAGGGTGGGGAGGGCTCCGCGGCGGGTCTCCCAGGGTGCGGCAGTACTTCCCAGCAGCTAGGTCAGACTGCGGCCAGTGGCTTCTGTCCAGGAGAGCAGTCACGGCGGCCTGGCGGCACCCCCACCTACCGGCTGCGGTTTTCCCGGGGGGCGGTCTCGCTGGTCCTCGCCTAGGCCCCAGTTTGCAAGGTGCTGAAGCCACCACCCTGGCCTCGCTCTTTGTGTATACATCAAACATCCTTTCAATCCGAGAGGCAGGGGTCAGGTGGAGAGATTTTTCTGGAAAAAGCTGCGTTTTCTATCAGATTCAGGCCCTGCTGTTGCTCACAGGCTTTCCACGAGGTCCTGGAGAGGCAGCGGTGGGCGCGCAGCGACCTGGAGGAAGAGGAGAACCTGAGAGCCACCGAGGCGGTGGCTGCGCTCTGCCAGGTGTGTGGCCTCCAGGTGGGCCGGCCGAGACTCCTTAGCATCTGCATGTTTGTGGGAACCTCGCGTCCTCCTGGGCCCAGGACCCCGAAGGCCTAGAGTGATCTGCCTCATGTTTCCCAAGGACTGGGCAGACGGCAGTGTCGGGCAGAGCTGGGGCGGGAGACTGGGGAGGCATCGCGTGGTCCAGGCAAGAGCCACTGGGGGCCTGGCTGGGAAGGCGCAGATGGGGGCGGCGAGAAAGTGTGGGAGCGGGGTCTGTTTCGATGGTCAACATCTCAGCCTTCTCCACTGAAATAGGGATAATAAGCTGTCTGCAGAGTACTCTCCGGGGGTGTAGATAGGCCTGCATGTGCAGAGCCAGAAACGCGTCAGGCACAGATGCGTTTCACTGTCGAGGATGTGCACGAGAGAGCGTGTACATGGGAGGGTGTGTACACGGGAGGGGGCGTGTACACAGGAGGGTGCGTGTATGTGAGGGCGTGTGCACGGGAGGGCATGTGTGTACGGGAGGGCGTGTGCGTGGGACGGTGCGTGTATGGGAGGGCGTGTGCACAGGAGGGTGTGTACACAGGAGGGGGCACGTGCACGGGAGGGCGTGTGTGCACAGGAGGACGCATGTGCACGGGAGGGTGTGTGCGCGGGAGGGCTTGTGTGCACAGGAGGGTGTGTACACAGGAGGGGGCACGTGCACGGGAGGGCGTGTGTGCACGGGAGGACGCATGTGCACAGGAGGACGCATGTGCACGGGAGGACGCTTGTGCACGGGAGGGCGTGGTGCACAGGATATGCTCTGGAGGTAACTCGCCCTCCAGCCCTGCTGGCTCTTTCCCAGACCCAGTCAAACCGAGGCCTTTCTGTAGCCAAGACACCCACCATGACACTGTGGGCACGGCGGCTGCTCCATAAAGCTGATGACCACCTCACGGTCCTCCAGCTGCCGAGAGTAGTGCATCTTTCAAATTAAATTCCCACTGTCTCTTGACCTTTAAACAAACAGTCAGGTCTCAGCTTGACCGAGATGGATGCCACTGAAGGACCCGTCTCGGCGGCTCACAAAGAGCGTCTGAAGCGAGCCCAGAGCTGGGGGGGGGGGGGGGGCCGCAGAGCCCTGCCAGGCACCCCGCCGGTTCACTGGGACTTCCTTTCTGTGCCACTCCTGCGCCGACTCCCAAGAGGCCCCTGGGAGAGTGTGACGACGTGACACCTGCCACGCTTGAGGCTTCTCAGCTGCGGGTTCTCACGAGGGTCAGGGTGAGGAAAACCAGAGACAGTGAAACCGTCCTCAAAGGACAGAAGGAGCAGGCACTGAGGGGGGCTCACGAGCTGTCTCCAGGGCATCCCTCGCTCTGATCCCCGTGCCGTTCAGGTGTCCCCAAGGACACCCAGGTCTAATGCTCTGAAGGACTCCCACAGAGCTGTCCTCACAGTCACCGGTTGTTACTGCACAGGGTACAGGTGAAAGTCAGCCGAGTGCCTGGCGTGAGGCGTCCGTGGCCTGTCCCAGGGGACGCGTGCACACCACTGACCGACAATGGCGTGTGACCTCACACACGGCGTGTTGCCGACCAGGGACGCTCACTCGAGCCTTGGTGTCCTGCCAGAGCTCAGGCAGCCTGGCTCCGTGTTAACTTACTGAAGCGGTTGGCGTGCATAATTCATGTTTTCTTTCTTTATAGTTTGCCAGAACCTCATGGTACTGCCTGCTGGCTGACTGCACCCTCCTGACTTTAGCCGCCCCCACCACTCGCCTCCAGAGTGTGAGGGGGAGGGGCGGCTCGGGAGGCAGGCAGACCACGCGTGGGCCCTCCAGCTGCGTGCCCGCTGCGTGCCCGCTGTGTGCCCGCTGTGTGCCCGCTGCGTGCCCGCTGTGTGCCCGCTGTGTGCCCGGCTGCTCTCACAGCCTGTCTGGCCCAGGAAGTCTTACCTGCCTTCCTTGCAGAGCGACCATATGAAAGAACCCACCTTACACCCCAAAATGCCCCCCATAGCCCTCAGGATAGAGACTAACACCCTTAATGACCGCCCAGCCTGGTCTGTGAAGCTCCCACGTGACCTGACCCACAAGACCTGTCTGACTTGGCCCAAAAGACCCACCTTGTCTGATCCAGGAGAACCGCCCCCCTGACAGCCCACAGGAACCCCACCCTAGCCCGCTGACCATCTCTCTGGCGTCGGGTCCCTTGCTCGATTTTTTCCAGCCAAACTCAGACATCCCTCAGCTCCCCAAAGGTGCCTGGTCCCTCCTACCCCAGGGCCTTTGCTTGTGCTTTTTCACTGCCTGACACACTCTGCCCTCCATTGTGGCATTTTGCTTGTTCTTTCTTAGTTAAAAGTCACTTCTTCAGAGAGCCCTTCTTGACCCCTCTGCAGACCAGTTAGATTCCCTGTCTGTCCCTGGGGCTTCCACCTCCCCCCATCACACTTGTCCTAGCAACGCCTGCCCCCACTGGGCGGTGCACTCCCTAAGGTCAGGGTCCACACTGCCCGGTCACTGCCGTGTCCCGGGTGCAGAGCCCGGAGCAAGCACTCAGAGGCGTGTGCGAGGAACCTGTGAGCGCCGGGAGGAAATGCATCCTGATAGCACGGTTGTAGAAGACCTCTGCGACGTGTCAGACTCACGACACGGGTATGAGAAGACTCACCCCATGTCTCGTGCAGCGAGACACCCAAACCCAGTGGCTGAACATGACCACGGCCAGTTCTCGCGGTCTGTGCCTTGGCAGAGGTTAGCGGGTCTCAGCTGGGCTGGACTGACAGCGCCCACCTGCCTCTCACTTCCTCCCAGGACCAGGGGCCAGCCTGGAAGTGAGCTTCCCACGGCAGAGCGGGAGGTCTAGCCTGCATGTTAGCAGCTCCGCACCACGTCGTTTCATTGGCCACCACAAGTCACATGACTGAGCCCCACGGCAAAGGACAGGAAGGTCCTTCCCCCTCCCACTCCCGGGGGTAGAGGCTGCAAAATTATGTGGCAGAGGCTGTGACTGGGGTGCTATGTTGGGGGGGTCCTGACGGAGGGGGGCCATGAGGGGGGAGGCGTGACAGGGGACGTGATGGGGGGATGTGACGGGGAGGCCGTGATGGGGGGCCATGACGGGGGGGTCGTGATAGGGAGGCCGTGATGGGGGGACTGTGATAGGGGGCTGGGATGGGGGGCCATGACAGGGTCGTGATGGGGGGGCTGTGATGGGGGAGGCGTGACAGGGGATGTGATGGGGGGATGTGATGGGGGGACTGTGATGGGGGCCATGACGGGGGAGCGGGATAGGGGGGCCGTGATGGGGGGACTATGATAGGGGGCTGGGATGGGGGGCCATGACAGGGTCATGATGGGGGGACTGTGATAGGGGGCTGGGATGGGGGGCCATGACAGGGTCGTGATGGGGGGACTGTGATAGGGGGCTGGGATGGGGGGCCATGACAGGGTCGTGATGGGGGGACTGTGATAGGGGGCTGGGATGGGGGGCCATGACAGGGTCGTGATGGGGGGACTGTGATAGGGGGCTGGGATGGGGGGCCATGACAGGGTCGTGATGGGGGGACTGTGATAGGGGGCTGGGATCGGGGGCATGATGGGGGCCGGGCCGGAGGGCCGGGACTGGGGGGTGACGGTGGAGGCTTGCTCTGTGCTGTGCTGTCTAATATTATAATCAGCCCTCAAAGTAGGCATTGCCCTCACAGACCTGCATTCCTTTTACAGGTAAGGAAACACCTCCCTTTGTCAGGCTCCTGATGCGCCCCTCCCTGCCCCGTCCCCTCCCTGCCCCGTCCCCTCCCTGCCCAGTCCCCTCTGCGGGGAGAAGCCAGGAGAGCCCTTGGTCACTGGCCTCAGGCAGCAGAGGCGGACCCGGAGGAAGATGCAAAGCCGCAGGGAATGTCTGCCCAGCCTGGGTCCCTGTGCTTGTTTGAGGGGAGCATAGGGCTGAGTCCCGGGGCCTGTGCTGTCCCCACCCGGACACCCCCGCTGTCCTGAGCTGCACACACGCACAGAGAGCAACACCGCTAATTAATCCCGGTTCTCAGTACCCCCGGATGAAGTGTGCCAGCCGGCAGCAGAGCGCCCTGTTCATGGCCTGCCAGAGCGTGTGACACGCCCAGAGGTGACTCTTTCCAGGGACCCAGCGCGTGTTTCGTGAGACAGAGCCTCGGTTAATGGGCCGTGTAGGTTTTACAAAGTTCACCTTGCGTGAATCTGCAAACAGCATATTTTTGTGGTTTGACAGTCATGAAGGAAAAAGAGAAAGCGTGCTCCCAGCCACTGCTACGGAAGGCTCGAGTGCCCGGTGGGAACCGTCTAAATCCTGCCCCTGCAGGGACCGGGGGCTTGCAGAGGCTGGAGGAGCACGCAGATCAGTCTCGTAGCTTTAAACCATGTCTTACTGTGAAGTGTAACACACATGCATAAATAGAGAACATAAATGTATGGACTAAGGAATTATTAAAAATCCATCTATGAAACCGTCACCCAGAGGAAGAAAGAGATGACAAGGATCCCAGAAGCCCCTTCACACCCCCTCCTAATCCTGATACCTTCCCTGCTCACAGGAGCCATATCCTGGCTCGTTAAAAAAGCAGGTCTGTGCCCTGGCCGGTTTGGCCCATGGATGAGAGAGGCCCGGGTTCGGTTCCCGCTCAGGGCACATACCTCGCTTGCAGTTTGTCCCCGGCCCCGGCTGTGGTCCTATGAGTGGCAGCCAGTCTATGTGTCTCTTTCACATCGATGTTTCTCTCTCTCTCTTCCTCTCTCTCTCCCTCCCGCTTTATCTGAAAATAAATGCAAAAGTGTCCTTGGGTGAGGATAAAAAAGAAAAAAAAAAGGCAAGTCTTTGCTTTCATGTAAGTGGAATCCTGCGTGTGCTCTTGTGTGTGAAGCTTCTTCCATGGACTTGGTGCATACGAGATGCATCCGTGCTGTTGCGTGTAGCAGTTCATTCATCCTCACTGGCCTTGTCCCATGGGACAGGTACACCTCCCATTCTCCTGTTGATGGACATTTGTGTGGCTTCTTAGTTTAGACCTTCTACCTGCTGCTGACATAAACTTCCCTGTGGGTGCTGTTTGAAGTGCTGGCACGTGCATTTCTCTTGGGCAGAATTGTCGGGTTAAAGAACACGTAGCCCAGCCGGCTCGGTTGGTTGAGCCTCGACCTATGCACTGAAAGGGTACTGGTTAGACTCCTGCTCAGGGCACACGTGGGAGGTGACCGACTGATGTTTCTATCCCATGTCAATGTTTCTCTCTCATATTGATGCTTCTGTCTATCTCTCTCTCTGTCTCTCTCTCCATTCCTCTTCCTAAGCATGTCCTTAGGGTAAGGATTAAAATATAAGTACAGTCGGCCCTCATTTATCGTGGTTAATCAGTTCCAGACTCTACCGCGATAAATGAATTTCCACGAAGTAGGATTCTTTATTTACTATAAGTAGTCCCTCGCCACTCCATGCTTCGAGTTTCGCGGCTTCTCTGTCGTGGTTTTTTAAAATATAGTGTAGTGTAGTATAGTAGTATAGAATAGAATAGAATAGAATAGAATAGAATAGAATATTAGTACAGTGGTAGTGTAGTATAGTATAGTATAGAATAGTAGAGTAGAGTAGTGTAGTATAGTAGTATAGTATAGAATAGTATAGTATAGTATACAATAGTATAGTACAGTACAGTGTAGTATAGAATAGTATAGTACAGTATAGTATAGTATAGTGTAGCATAGTAGTATATAGTATAGTATAGAATAGTATAGTACAGTACGGTACAGTATAGAATAGTATAGTACAGTACAGTATAGTATAGTATAGTATAATGTAGTATAGTAGTATAGTGGTAGTGTAGTATAGTATAGTAGAGTACAGTACAGTATAGTGTAGTGTAGTATAGTATAGTGTAGTATAGTAGTATAGTATACTATAGTATAGTATAGAATAATATAGAATAGTATAGTATAGAATAGTATAGTGTAGTATAGTAGTATAGTGGTAGTGTAGTATAGTATAGTATATAATAGTATAGTATAGAATAGTACAGTACAGTATAGTATAGTATAGTATAGTGTAGTATAGTGGTAGTGTAGTATGGTATAGTATAGAATAGTATAGTATAGAATAGTATAGTACAGTACAGTATAGTATAGAATAGTATAGTACAGTATAGTATAGTATAGTGTAGTATAGTAGTATAGTGGTAGTGTAGTATAGTATAGAATAATATAGTATAGAATAGTATAGTACAGTACAGTATAGTACAGTATATTACAGTACAGTATAGTATAGTATAGTGTAGTATAGTAGTATAGTGGTAGTGTAGTATAGTATAGAATAGTATAGTATAGAATAGTATAGTACAGTACAGTATAGTATAGAATAGTATAGTACAGTATAGTACAGTACAGTATAGTATAGTATAGTGTAGTATAGTAGTATAGTGGTAGTGTAGTATAGTATAGTATAGAATAGTATAGTACAGTACAGTATAGTATAGAATAGTATAGTACAGTATAGTACAGTACAGTATAGTATAGTATAGTGTAGTTTAGTAGTATAGTGGTAGTGTAGTATAGTATAGTATAGTATAAAATAGTATAGTACAGTACAGTATAGTATAGAATAGTATAGTACAGTACAGTACAGTACAGTATAGTATAGTGTAGTATAATAGTATAGTGGTAGTGTAGTGTAGTATAGTATAGTATAGAATAGTATAGTACAGTACAGTATAGTACAGTATAGTGTAGTATAGTAGTATAGTGGTAGTGTAGTATAGTATAGTATAGTATAGAATAGTATAGTACAGTACAGTATAGTATAGAATAGTACAGTACAGTATAGTATAGAATAGTATAGTACAGTATAGTACAGTATAGTATAGTATAGTGTAGTATAGTAGTATAGTGTAGTGTAGTGTAGTATAGTATAGTATAGAATAGTATAGTACAGTATAATACAGTACAGTATAGTATAGTATAGTGTAGTATAGTAGTATAGTGTAGTGTAGTGTAGTATAGTATAGTATAGAATAGTATAGTACAGTATAGTACAGTACAGTATAGTATAGTGTAGTATAGTAGTATAGTGTAGTGTAGTGTAGTATAGTATAGTATAGAATAGTATAGTACAGTACAGTATAGTATAGTATAGTGTAGTATAGTAGTATAGTGGTAGTGTAGTATAGTATAGAATAGTATAGTATAGAATAGTATAGTACAGTACAGTACAGTTTAGTATAGTATAGTATAGTATAGTATAGTGTAGTATAATAGTATAGTGGTAGTGTAGTGTAGTATAGTATAGTATAGAATAGTATAGTACAGTACAGTATAGTATAGTATAGTGTAGTATAGTAGTATATAGTGGTAGTGTAGTATAGTATAGTATAGAATAGTATAGTACAGTACAGTATAGTATAGTACAGTACAGTACAGTATAGTATAGTGTAGTGTAGTATAGTAGTATAGTATAGTATAGTATAGTATAGTATAGTATAGTATAGTATTTGAAAAAACTGCGATAGAGTGAAGCCATGAAAGTCGAAGCGCGAAGTGGCGAGGGATAACTGTGTAGCCCGGCCAGTGTGGATCAGTGGTTGAGCACTGACCCCTGCACCAAGAGGTCATGGGTTCAATTCCCGGTCATGGCATGTGCCCAGATTGTGGGCCAATCCCCAGTAGGGGGCATGCAGGAGGCGGCCTATCATGTTCTCTCTAGCTCTCCCTCTCCTTTCCTCTCTCTCTCAAAATCAATAAAGGGAAAAAATATTTTAAAAGTGTGTATATATATATATATAGAGAGAGAGAGAGAGAGACAGAGACGGAGAGTCAATCCATGTTCTCCATAGTTATTGATATAGCCATCAATTTGATTAGCACTGGTAATTTATAGATGTTTTGGTTGTAATTAACATCTGTACAATATCAATCTTCCAATCCAGAAACATCCTTACATTTATTTAAGTCTTATTTAATTTTTCTTAATATTGTTTTATAGTCTCCACCCTTAGGTATAATGTTTACTATAGTTTTTTGTTTGTTTTTTTCCAGATTAAAGAGGTTTCTTTCCATTTTTATTTTGCTAAGACTGTTTCTTATGCATGAAAATTAAATTTTGTAAAATGCTCTTCCCTCATCTAGTCCCATAATCATCATGATATGTGTCTGCTCTATTCTGTTAATGTAGCAAATTACGTTGGTTTGGGTAATACATTAAGAGCACACACATGTAGACTTTTACATCTTTCTGCTGAGTTAAACCTTTTAGCAGATGCCATAAATCCCTTCATTTCTAATCACATTTTTTTTGCTTAAAGACTATTTTATCTATTAAGGTAGCAAAAAGTGACCCTATGTTTACTAGGTTCTGTTTATGCACTCATTCACTAATTTATTCATCAATTCATTTTCAAAAAAAATTTTACCTGCAAGCATCACAGCTAAGAACATGGGTGCCTGAGACCGGGTGCCTGTGAATGTCAGTCATCAGTTTTGGGAAATTCCTAAGCCATCATCACTTCAAATATTGCTTCTACGTGGGCTCTCCCTTTTCTCCTTTGGGGACTCCAATGAAAAATGTTGGATTTCCTCATTGTATCTTCTATGCCTTTATCTTCTCCATATTTTCCATCCTTAGTCTCTCCTGACTTTGTTCTGGATGTTCCCTGATCTGTCTTCCAGCATACTAATTCTCTCTTCGGCTGTTTCTAGCTGCCATTACACCTGTGCATTGGGTTCATCAAAGTGGACTATATTCTCCAATTCTAAAAATTCTGATTGGTTCTTTTTAAACTACACAGTGTTGCCTTTTATAATGTCTAGCTCTTTGCTTTGAGGTTTAAGAGTGGCCCTTGCCTTCCTGAGCACAGGCCGCATCAGTCCTGTGAAGTCTGTGCTTCGCATCACATCCTTTGGACTGCCGCGTTTGGCGGGTACTCATCGCGAGGCTCTCGGTTTCAGGAGCTGTACCGCAGCACCGTGGAAACGTTCCAGACGCTTGCGGAGGCCCTGTTCCTGCACACGCTCCCCGGCGTGACCGGCCTCTCGCAGGCAGAGTGTGAATACTGGAGGCAGGAGGCCGGGGAGAACGCCGCCCTGCAGCTGGGGAAGTCGGATCGCTTCCGGAAACAGCAGTGGACACTCTTCCAAGAACTCCTGGAACAGGAAAAGCAGGTGCGGGCGTTTTGTGGAGCTGGGTCCAGGGTCTGCATTTCTTGACATGCATGAGGAATAATGAGAGGTTCCATTCACTGAGCATCTCCTAGTGCCTTGGCCAGGGGCTCTCCAAGGTGCGGGTGGCCGGCCTTTCACCAGGGCGCTCAGTGTGGGTGGGGAAGATTCAAGCCCTCCCGTCCCGGGGTAGGAGGGCAGCAGATATACCTTCAGTCGCGCTGTTGAGAAAGCGCAGCAGAACCCGTTCTTTAGGGAGAAATAAACGACAGAAGGTGCTTCCCAGGGTATGGACGGGGGTGGGAGGTGGGGGCTCCACACACGGGACTCCTGCTTTTCGGAGAGTCTATTTCATTATTGAAACTGTGTGTATATGTGGTGGGCAGAATGGTGGCCCCCAAAGATGTCCATTCTAATCCCAGAACCAGAATTGATCACCTAACAGGGCACAAGGGTCTTTGCAGATGGGATTAAGGATCTTGAGATTTGGAGCTTATCTGGGTTATCTGGCGGGTCCAGTGTCATCATGAGGGTCCTTAAAGGAAGAAGGAGGGTCAGGGTCAGGGAGGGAGATCTGATGACATGAGAAGTTAGAGGGATGGGGCCAGGAGCCAAGGGACGCAGGTGCCTCAGAAGCTGGAAAAGACAGGAACACGTTCTTCCCCGGAGCCTCCAGAGGGACCCGGCCCTGCCCAGGTCTTGCTTTTAGCCCATTAAGACCCATTTATTTTAGCCTCTGGTTTCCAGAGCTGTAAGATAACAAGTTTGTGGCAATGTGTTTACCGCAGCCATAAGAAACTAATTTGGATACATTGATTTGTTTTTATCTATAAACTGTTCTGTAAAAGAAGGGCTTTCCAAGTGGGCTGACTCTCACATCGCCCACGGTTCCCTCCCCCTCGCTGTCCTGCACCGTGGAGGCTGTAAAACCAACAGGCTCAGTGTCCCGGGCCCTTGCCCCTCCAGGGGCCCAGTGGCCGAGCTCTGGCCTGTGAGACAGGTGTGGCAACCTGCAAAGAGCTGCTCTTCCCGTCACGAAAGCAAGCGCGGCCCAGAGAGAGCCCTCCTGCAGCGCCCCGTTTCCCTGCCGAGCTCGTGCCAGGGCTGGAGGGCGCCCACCGTCCTCTGACGCACAGGCTGGATGCAGGCGCACGGAGGCTGACCTGCTCGGGTGGGGGGCAGAGACAGCTGGACGGCCCCACGGCCCTGGTGGCCTTTGGAGTCACTGTCCCAGCCCTGGGCCACCGCCCACCCCAGGTTCTCGTCGTAAGAAACAAGTCCTGTTTCTTTGTGGCGGGTGTTCAGTTAGTCAGAGAAGAGCACACGGCTGATGCGGAGCAGAGCACCTGTTTGGAGCCGTGGAAAGTAGCAGATGCAGCTGACCGTGGACAACGCGGGGTGAAGGGCACCGACCCCCATACATCTGAAACCCACCTATAACTTTTGACTCTCCCAAAACTAACTACTAATAGCCTATTGTTGACCGGAAGCCTTACCATAACCTAAACAGCCAATCAATACATATTTTTTATGTGATGTGTATGATAGACTCTTACATAAAGTAAGCTAGAGGAATGTGAAGATAATTATAAGGAAGAGGAAATACATCTACAGTATTTATTGGGTGAAAAAATCACATGTAAGTGTAGTTCAAACCCGTGTTGTTCAGGGTCAACAGTAAACAGAAGAGAGCGTCATGCAGACACAGGCGCATTGACGGCCCTGGGCGGGCAGGGGCCTCTTTCCTGCCTGTGGATTCTTAGACCTCCTGATTCGGTCCCTCCTGTGCCGGCTCGCCATGTCGCCCCTCTGCCTCCTGCATTTGGCCCCAAGTCCCTGGGGGGCAGCCACCTGCTTTCCCTGCCTCCCTTCCCTCATCCCAAGCCCAGTGCTGGGATGTGGCAAATGCTCAGGGAAACGTTGTGCTTCTAGCAGCAACACTGCGGCTTTGGAAATGACCACAGGTCACCTGGACCCTGAGTTCTTCCCAGGGATGCAAATGAAGCTGAATTCATCTGCTTCTTAACAATCCTGGGCCCCACAACCTAATGTAGAGTGTCAGGGGAGGGAGGGGGGCCCGGGCCTCCGTGGTTTGGAAAGCTCACCAGCTGAGTCTGATGTCCCTCCGAGGTGGGCTTTCCAAATGGGGGTGGGGGCCTTTTAGAGACAGCTGTGCTTTGCAGACAGGCTCCTAGCCTTGGAGCTGAACGTCTCGGTTTGAGTCGCAGCGAATCCATTCACGGACGGGGTGACGATACCATTCCATTTAGCCAACCTTTAACAACTTCGATTTTGCACAACTTGTTAAATGTCTCAGGACCACAGCTTCTGTGTGAAGAGATAGGGATGAAATGCCCAGCGGGGCTCCCGTGAGGCAGCCCTTTCGCACAGTGTTCGTCGATGATGTTGACGCTGAAAACATCAGGGTTTCATTTCTGATGCATTATTAGACAAACCCCCGTGATTCGTCTAAAACTCTCTGGTTATGAGTCTTCCGTCGTTTTAGGCAAATACCAGACTGCACAGCTTCTGGGGTTTACTATTTATTTGCTTTGTAAGTGCACGTGTGAATTTCCTTGGCTTGAGCAGGAGTGTTTCCAGGGGAGTTATTCATGCAAGAGGTGAGCAGGGTAGTTGATGGTCTCATCAACTGACTCAGTACGTTTGGCCCCAGACTGTTTTCTCAGGGTGTGGCTGTCACAATCTACGCACTGGTTGACTCGTTAATTGCCTTAAATTACCACAAGATATTCAGAGATCCGTGTTCTGTCCCACTGTCCGAGTGTCCGTGACAGATGAACTTTCTGTGGCTCAGATGGATATTTGATCATGAGAAGGAAAACACCCACAAGACATGTCCACTGTCCGGGACGTCGTGAAAGGCTTTGGAATCTCTCAGTCACACGGTTGGAATGGATGGTACCTGGCGGTTCTCAAAACATCATCCGTCTAATGCGGGTTTCTGGGCTTCTCCCCAGTCCACTGTGTCAGGCCCAGAGGCGCCTAACACCCCCACGCTGTCTCCACCCCAATTCCCAGAAGCCGTGAGCATGTTGCCCGACGTGGCAAAAGGGACTTTGCAGATGTGACTAAGTTGAGGATCTTGAGATGGAGAGGGTCCTGCGTGGTCCGGGTGGGCCCGTTGTCATCACGGGGGTCCCTGTAAATGAACGTGGGAGGCAGGAGGGTCAGAATCAGAGGGATGCAGTGTGGGGAACACTCGGCCCCAGGGCTGGGCTTGAGGGTGGAGGAAGGGCCACCAGCCCAGGAATGCAGGCGCCTCTGAAGCGGAGGAGGGGAGGAAGGGTCCCTCAGACCAGTGGTTCTCGACCTGCCTGTCGCCGCGACCTTGTAATACGGCTCCTCATGTTGTGGTGGCCCCCAACCATAAGATTATTTTTGTTGCTACTTCATAACTGTAATTTTGCTACTGTTATGTCTGAGGCGACCCCTGTGAAAGGTCGTTTGACCCCCAAAGGGGTCGCACCCCACAGGTTGAGAACCGCTGCTCTAGAGCTTCCAGGGGTGCAGGCTTGCTGGCACCTTGGTTTTTAGTCCCGTGAGCCCCAGTTCAGACTTCTGACCCCAGAACTAGGAGACAGTAGGTGTTGTTTTTAGCTACTAAGTGTGTGGTAATTTGTTACAGCTGCCCTAGGAAGCTGATTCCCCCGAACAAGCTTCTGCATCTTTAAGGAGGGTGGCGGCAGGGGTTACATTGTAGCGTAATGGTGAAGACACTGGCTGCAGTCAGTCGGCCAGGTGTTCAGTCCTGGGCTCTCTCTGAACCCCGCTCAGGCAGGTTCCCATCACCTCGCCCCTGTCCGAGCTGAGCTCTCGCCCACCCTGGCTGGGCTCCCCTCCTCCGTGACACTCTTGCTGGACTCCTGCGTGTCCTCGATGGTGGCTCCTTCTCGCCCTGACACATGAACACAGCGCCCCAGGATGCCCGTGACCCTCTTCTCTACCGAGTGCAGTCCCTTGCGGCTCTCAGCTGGTCACACGCCTGTGTATTAGTCTTCTAATGCTGCCCAACCAACAACCCCAGCTACTACCTTAAAACAACACACACTCATTCCGTCACAGCCTCTGCGCCGGGAGCAGGCACAGCTAAGCTCAGGGTTCCCACGGGTGCAGCTGGGGTCTTCTCCGGCGGCTCGACTGGGAGGAATCCAAGCTCCCTCACGTGGTTCTCGGGGGTCAGCTCCCCAAGGGCTGCTGGGCTCAGGGCCTGCAGCCCCCACGTGTCTATCTCCAGCTTGGAACCCGCGCGTGAACTGAGCTCTCTCCAGATCTGCAGAGAGAGGGACAGACAGGCACATTTAGTCCAGAACAGAACCACTGACCTTCCCTCCCAGCTGCTCTGTCCAGTCTTCCTCCATCTTTCCGTTCGATTGGGCCAAACCTTTGGGTTTATCCTCTTTCACCCCCGACATCCAGTTAATGGGAAATGGTGTTCGTTCTACTTTCAATCTAATTGGGAGTCACCCCTTTTCACCCTCTGCTCTTAGCACCCTGGCCAACGCCACCCCATGTCACTGAACAGGGGCCTGCTGGTCCCCCTGTCTGCCCTGGCCCCTGTGGTCTGTTCTCAACCCCCAGCCAGAACACATTTAAAATATACCATAGGCCACTCATTAGTAATATTTTAAATATATCTGTTATTTATTTTAAATATATTAAAACAGCCCCAAACCCATTTCAAATATATCTTCGCATCGCAGAAATGGAGAAGCATCTTCGCCGAATAGGCAGCGTTTTTCCTTCCTTAGTGAGACCGAAAATAATTGTGTGTCTCATCATCGCTGGCACGTGGACTTGGTAAAGGCACCAGGTCGCATCGTGTCTCTTCTCTGCTCGGGACCCCTAGTGGCTTCTCATTTCACACAGAGGAAGAGCCTGAGTCGTCGCCTGGCCCTCCCCGGACCCAAGTGTCGGGACCTGGTCACCCTGGGCCGTCCTCTTCTCTCCCCCGGCTCAGGCCGTGCCAGCCTCTCTGGCCGCCTTGCTTCCTCTGCTCGCTGGGCACAGCCCTGCCTCGCTGGTCCTGCTGCAGGGCTTGTGGCCTGGTCCTTCACAGAGGACCTCCTGCTGCCACGTGTCCCTCCCCGCTGGCAGGTGCCCCTCCCCGCTGGCAGGTGCCCCTCCCCGCTGGCACGTGTCCCTCCCCGCTGGCAGGTGCCCCTCCCCGCTGGCAGGTGCCCCTCCCCGCTGGCACGTGCCCCTCCCCGCTGCCACGTGCCCCTCCCCGCTGGCACGTGCCCCTCCCCGCTGGCAGGTGCCCCTCCCCGCTGGCACGTGTCCCTCCCCGCTGGCAGGTGCCCCTCCCCACTGCCACGTGTCCCTCCCCGCTGCCACGTGTCCCTCCCTGCTGCCACGTGTCCCTCCCCGGCACGCCCGGATCCCACCCTGTGAATAGGACGCGCCCAAGCCTTAGCAGCACCCTGTCACTTCCTTCTCCCTCGTCGTCAGTGAAAGTCTGAAACAAAGTAACTTATCCAAACCACCAACTGCCCAGGAGCTACTCCCCGGGTCCGCACAGCCGGCTGCGGCTGCCGCTGCTGAGTGTAATCCGATGACGCTGGATTGACCATTGTGGGCACCTTCTGGTCTGATGACCTTGGTCCTCTTGACGTTTGAATCGCGTTGCCGGTTGCGTCTGCAATCTCAAAACTGACACCGAAGACCCCGTATGCCTTAGTGACGACGCGAATTTACCTTTCAGAGAATCGAGACTGTGCAGAATTTTCTGTCTGGTTTCCCAAGCACTTTGACAGGTTTCTGTAGACTTCTCCGGAGAGGAGCCGGAGACAGACTTTCACAGAAAACACAATGTGACTTTGTGAGATTAAGAATATGTGTTACAGGTCTGTGTTCTGTGGAGTTGTGTGTGCAGCATGCGCCCTCTTCAGGCCGCCGGGGGCAGCGCCCTTTGAGCCACTGCAGGTGCCGAAGAGGAGCCACCTTGATGAGGGATCCCAGCTGTAACTCGGAGCTAGTGCGTGTTCTCCTGGTGGGACGGAATAGTCAGGAAGGAGCATGGTAGGGCCAGAAGACTTGGCTTCGGAGAAAGGCAGGAGTGCATTCAGTCCCTGCCCCACTTTTCACATGTATTAGCTACGTGGCCTAGGACCTCACAGGATTTTTCAGCGAAACCACATTGAAGGTGAGCTAACATCCAAAGTTACGAAATGTGCAAGGAACAGTCCATCGTGAGAGTCAGCACCTTCCGCAAGTTCGCATCACGACACACACCAGACACTCAGACGAAGGACAGTCAGAACGTGCTCATGCAGGCAGTGTGTTTAAAACCACGAAGAACATCACAGAAGGATTTCCTGGCCCTAAAGACAAGACATGATGGAAAAAGACAACAACAGACTAGAGGTCATACGCTTTTATGAATGAAAATTATAGCTACGAAACAAATTGAATGGATGAGTTCCACAGCAGGTTGAAGGTGGCCGAGGCCCCGGTGTGGGAACCCGGAGACCTGTGGGAAGGTGGTCCAGGGGGCCGAGCAGAGAGCTACCGAGGTGGGAAAATGAACGGGGCAGGAGACATGGAGAGCAAAGGGAAGTCCTAGGGAGACTTCTTACAGTCCTAGGAGCTCCAGAAGGAGAGGCCGCAGAGGGGGAAGGAGAGGCCATAGTCAGAGTCCTGATGCACGGGACACTTTCGGAATCAGGGACAGTCATGACTCAGACGGTGAAGGGCATGTTGATTAACCTCAGGTTCTGTGGGGTCAGGAATGTATGTTGAAAATTTAAAACCACTGAGGGGACAGAAACAGGACATGGAACTGTCAAAGCCGCAAAGGAGGACAAAGGGGATAAAGAAAATTAAACACAAAATTGACCAAGTCTTGCTGTACGACAGCCGGGAAGCAGGGAGGTGTGGGCACAGGAATAAACAGACCTGCAGAATAGCAGAGCTAGAAGGGCTGTGTATATATGGAAACTATGTGTCTATGGCAACTACGTGATACAACGTGGCACGGCGGTCACAGAAAGTCACCTCTAATAAAGGGCTGGCACAATTAGTATCCTTTTGTCCAGGAGAAATTAGATCCCTTCCTCAGGCCACAGAAAATATGTATTCAGGGCTTCACAATGTGCATGCAAACAGGAAAAGTTCTAAGTCTTCAGAAGGAAATATGACAGAAACCGTTAATGAGAAAGCTTTCTGAACAAAGCAGTGGTGGATGAGCTGAGCTGGGGCTGACCCTGTCCCTCTGCCTGGGGTTTAGGTGTGGATGGAGGAATACTCGCTGTCCGCCGTGCTGCAGGCTCACCTGCGGGACCACCACGAGAGCGTCCTCCACCGCGTGCTGGGCCAGCTTGGTGGCCTCAGTGAAGAGTGAGTACAGGGCCTTTGTGCTGTGTGATACCCACCCTGGTCCTCATCTGTAAGGTGGATGCTTAACTGACTGGCCTCTGCGGTGTTGGGTGACATTTGGGCATTTCTTGGTAGCTCAGTGTATTAGGATTCTCCAGAGAAAGAACCAATGGGATGTGTGTACATATGCATGCATGTATGTGTTTGTCCATCCATGTATCTATAGATAGACCTATAGAGACAGAGAGGGGAGAGAGGACCTTCGAGGTGGCAGTGTCTGAGACTCAGGGGACCGCCATCATGGTCCGAGGTTTGAAGGTCTGAGAACCAGGAGAGCTGATGACATTAGGTCCAGTCCGAGCCGGCAGTCTCAAGACCAGGAAGAACCGGTCTCTCAGTCTGAGTTCAAAGACAGGAGAAGGTGACATCCCGGCTCAAGGCAGGCAGACAGGAGACGTTCCCTCTTACAAGAGGGTCCTTCTCTGTGCATCAAGCATTCAGCAGATTGGATGGGTCACTCCCTGAGGAAGGGCAGTCTGCTTCACTCCGTCTGCGGACGTAAAGTTGACCTCGCCCAGAGCAATGTCTGAGCAGAGGTCCAGGCAGCTGGGCCCAGTCAAGTTGCCGTAAAATGAACGGTCACACCCAGAGAAGCCAAGGGCGTGACCCCCAGCCCTGCCCTCTCTCCCGAAGGTCCGCGCGGGGCATCCTGCAGGGGCACGACCTGCTCCTGCGCTCAGCCCTGCGCAGGCTGGCTCTGCGGGGCAGCGCCGTGGCCACGCTGGCCCAGATGCGGCTGTCGGGGAAGAAGGGCCTCCTGCAGGAGCTGCGGGAGCAGCAGGCCCTGGAGCGCGGCTCCTCCCCGTGCCTGGAGGAGCATCAGTGGCAGCTGCTCAGAGCCCTGGTGAGATCGCGGAGCGGAGCTCCCCAAACCCCACTCCAGTAGTTGCAGGGTGGGGGCAGGGCGGCCCTGTACACTGTCACGAGGGTTATACCGAAAATGCATAGGCAGTCAGAGAGGGGATAGGTACAGTTGTCATCAGGATTGGGAAAAAGGGGGCCCTGTGGTCTGTTTTAAGGTTTTAACAGATCCAAAGAAAGAACTTGTGAATTACAGGGCTGGGATTTAAACCCGAGCAGGCTGACTCCGGGTCACACTCTTTTGCTCTGCCCGGGAGAGCTCGGTGGGCAGCAGGCTGCCCTGCCCCCGACTCCGACCCGTGTTCCTGTGAGGAGAGCAGTCCCCAGGGCCCCGCCTGCCCTGCCTTGGCTTCCGTGATGCCCCGATTACTCTCAGACTCAGATCTGGCTTCAAAACCCAGCTCTGCTGTGTGTCTTTTAGAAAGTTACTCAACATCTCTGAGCCTGCGAACACTCCTAGGGTTCAGGAAGAATGAGGAAGTTCTCGTATATGTGACAGGCCACAGACGGCACTGGGCACACAGCGGGTGCTCACGGGCACCCAGCTCATCCACTGTGTTGGGTTGTGCAAGCCCAGAGACCCCCACTCTCTGCCCTTTCTCCATCCCTTCCCCAACCTTCCTGGGGCCCTGGGAAGGCAAACCCAGCATCCTGGGCTTGGCCCTGGCCAGAGCTCCTGTGCAGGGCAGCAGCGCGGGCTGCCCCCCTCCGTGCCCGTCCTTTGCAGGAGGCACGCGTGCTGGAGGAGACCCGCAGGCTGGAGGAGGAGGCGCAGCAGACGCGGCTGCAGCTCCAGCAGCAGCTCCTGGCCGAGGCCCAGGAGCTAGGGCAGCGCCTGCAACAGCACACGGAGCGAGCCCTCGGGCAGGCGCTGCTGGGGCACGCGAGGGCCTCGGCCACCAGGAGCCGGGCCAAGGACCGGGAGGACTTCAAGGTACGTGCCAGCCCCCATCCCTGGGGAACCTGAGGGCGAGAGGATGGGGGAGGGGTAGGAGGGCAGGGGCAGATGAGAGGCCGGATTTGGACAGAGCAGCCGCACCCTCCCGGGAGCTTTGGCCTTACAGAGGTTGCCCATCATTTTATGAAGTAAAGGATGGTAACCTTTAACCTCGGTCACAATGGTAACCCAGCCATCACGTCTCCGGCGATGGGGCATCTCAGCATTCCTTGCTTGCTGCTTTGGCTCTGAAGGGGCATCACTGTGGAATGAGTGAGTGCCAGTAGCAGCAAGTCCTACTGAAATGGCTCAGATAATGGAAGTTACCCAGCCCACCTAACAAGCAATGTGCAGGCAGGTGGTTCCAGGCACAGAGGCTCTGTGATGTGACCAAGGGCCAGGCTCACTCTTTCTGATCCACCGTTCTTGCTGTTAGTGTGTGGCCTCATAGTCTCAAAATGGCCACTGACGCGCCGGACATCAGATCTGTATTCCAGGAAGGAAGAGGAAAACGGCAAAGTCTTTTACTTGCACTGAGGCTTTGCCTTAGTATTTGGAAAGGGAAGCCCCCCCGTCCCCAGCAGACTTTCCCTAATATTGCATCTAATTGGCCAGGGTCATATACCTAGCCTTAGACCATCCCTGACCAAGGCAAATAACACAGGGGTGGGCAAACGTAGGTTTACCATCGTGAATACACAAAACAGAGTTTATTCTTCTATAATTCTTTGTTAATTATTGTGTTATTTTCCATATGGACGACTGTAAACCTACTTTTGCCCCGCCCTGTATCCACTGGTTTAAACCAACATGAACTCTGCCTATTCACTAACCGGTGCAGGTTGGGAGTGGGTGGGAGAGGGAGCCCGGGCCAGCGGAGGCAGGGCAGTGTGTGACCTCCTGTCGAGCCCTCCCCTCCCGCCCACAGAGGACGCTGCTGGAGGCGGCTGTGGAGAGCGTGTACGTGACCAGCGCGGGCGTCAGCCGGCTCGTGCAGACGTATTACCAGCAGGTCCGGCGGGTCCTGCAGGAGCACGAGGACCGCAGACTGGAGCATCTGAGGACCCTGCAGGGTACGCACCTCCGTGGGGAAGCCCACAGCCAGGAGCCAGACAAGCTCTGCATTTCCAAACTTTGTATTTGGGAACCTTATTTTTTAGTGCTTCAGGGACTGATTTATCCCCTGCTTTGTCCCCAAAAGGCTTTTTGAAAGGCCCTTAGAGAAACACATGCACACACTTTCTTAAAGTAGATGAATCAGGACCATAAGATGAGGTAGGGTGGGGTCATCGTCTGGGACATGTGTCAGATTCCTGCTTAGTGGTCACATGGTGTTTTGGCTCTGGGCTTCCTGGTGGCCAGAGAGATGGAAACTTCCTCAGTGAAAGCTGTTAAAGTGGCCGTAAGAAGAGGACAGTGACCCATACAGTGTTCCCAAGACCCAGAGGATTTTCCTCGGGTGTGGACAGGACCCCACAGCCTGAATGGCATCATGCAATAATAGACAAAAGCCAGCCCTGGCCGGTTTGGCTCAGCGGTTAGAGCATCAGCCCATGGATCCAAGAGTCCCAGGTTCGGTTCCCGCTAAGGGCACGTACCTCAGTTGCAGTTTGTCCCCGGCCCCAGTTGGGGTCGTGTGGGTGGCAACTGCTCGATGTGTCTCTTTCCTGTCCATGTTTCTCTCTCTTCCTCCCTCTCTCCCTCCCGCTCTATCTGAAGATAAATGCAAAAATGTCCTCGGGTGCAGATAAAAAAAAAAATAGACAAAAGCCAGTCTCCCGAAGGCCATGCTTGTAACTTCCTTCCCTGCATCGGGGCCTCAGAACAGGGTCCCCGTGTTCTCTGAAGGGCTGTGCCTGGACTGTCCCAGGACCAGAGTTGGAATTGGTCCTGGGCAGGGGGGCAGGGCTCTGAACAGAACGTCTCTCAGTGACTCAGCTGCGCCTTCATCCTGGGCTCTGACCTTAGGATCAAACAAAGCCTGGGACCTGCCCAGGAACATGGCGGCTCTGCAGGCCCTTCATCGGGTTCCCCAAGTGAGGGTTCAGCTCGCCCGGTAGGACACAGCCGTGCTCGCGTCACTCGGGACCCGGAGCTCACGTCCCCTTTCGAGGCCTCAGTTCCCCATCTGTGGGACTAGGGTTCCTTCAGCCTCCATCCATTCTCTCAGCTCCGACTCCCCGCTTCCCTGATAGCCCAGCTCTAACGGGATTGCCCAGGCCATGAGTTAGAACAATGTGGTCGAGCTTCACCCACCACATTAACATCCTGCCTGTTTCTTCACTCCAGCAATTCCTTTTCATTTAAAGCTCAAAGCAGGTTACCCCCTGGGGATGATCCAGTTAGATCTCCTGGGAAGGGCTAGAAAGCGCAGGTCCAGCGAGGTAGGTGGCCTGTTGGACAGCTCACAGCAAGTGCGGTGGCTAGTCAGGTGCGGTGGCTAGTCAGGTGTGGCTGGTCAGGTGTGGTGGCTAGTCAGGTGCGGTGGCTAGTCAGGTGTGGCTAGTCAGGTGCAGTGGCTAGTCAGGTGTGGCTAGTCAGGTGCGGCTAGTCAGGTGTGGTGGCTAGTCAGGTGCGGTGGCTAGTCAGGTGCGGCTAGTCAGGTGCGGTGGCTAGTCAGGTGTGGCTAGTCAGGTGTGGTGGCTAGTCAGGTGCGGTGGCTAGTCAGGTGCGGCTAGTCAGGTGCGGTGGCTAGTCAGGTGCGGTGGCTAGTCAGGTGCGGCTAGTCAGGTGCGGCTAGTCAGGTGTGGTGGCTAGTCAGGTGCGGTGGCTAGTCAGGTGTGGCTAGTCAGGTGCGGTGGCTAGTCAGGTGTGGTGGCTAGTCAGGTGCGGTGGCTAGTCAGGTGTGGTGGCTAGTCAGGTGTGGCTAGTCAGGTGTGGCTAGTCAGGTGTGGTGGCTAGTCAGGTGTGGCTAGTCAGGTGTGGTGGCTAGTCAGGTGTGGTGGCTAGTCAGGTGTGGCTAGTCAGGTGCGGTGGCTAGTCAGGTGCGGCTAGTCAGGTGCGGTGGCTAGTCAGGTGCGGTGGCTAGTCAGGTGCGGTGACTAGTCAGGTGCGGTGGTTAGTCAGGTGTGGTGGCTGGTTAAGTGTGGCTAGTTAGGTAGAGTGGCTAGTTAGGTGTGGTGGCTAGTTAGGTGTGGCTAGTTAGGTGTAGTGGCTAATTAGGTGGGTGGCTAGTTAGGTGTGGTGGCTAGTTAGGTGTGGTGGCTAGTTAGGTGTGGTGGCTGGTTAAGTGTGGCTAGTTAGGTGTAGTGGCTACTTAGGTGTGGTGGCTAGTTAAGTGTGGCTAGTCAGGTGTGACTAGTCAGGTGTGGTGGCTAGTCAGGTGTGGTGGCTAGTCAGGTGTGGTGGCTAGTTAGGTGTGGTGGCTAGTTAGGTGTGCCTAGTTAGGTGTAGTGGCTAATTAGGTGGGTGGCTAGTTAGGTGTGGTGGCTAGTTAGGTGTGGTGGCTAGTTAGGTGTGGTGGCTGGTTAAGTGTGGCTAGTTAGGTGTAGTGGCTACTTAGGTGTGGTGGCTAGTTAAGTGTGGCTAGTTAGGTGTGGCTAGTTAGGTGTCGTGGCTAGTCAGGTGTAGTGGCTAGTCAGGTGTGGTGGCTAGTTAGGTGTGGTGGCTAGTCAGGTGCGGCTAGTCAGGTGCGGCTAGTCAGGTGCGGCTAGTCAGGTGCGGTGGCTAGTCAGGTGCGGTGGCTAGTCAGGTGTGGTGGCTGGTTAAGTGTGGCTAGTTAGGTATAGTGGCTAGTTAGGTGTGGTGGCTAGTTAGGTGTGGCTAGTTAGGTGTAGTGGCTAATTAGGTGGGTGGCTAGTTAGGTGTGGTGGCTAGTTAGGTGTGGTGGCTAGTTAGGTGTGGTGGCTGGTTAGGTGTGGTGGCTAGTTAGGTGTGGTGGCTGGTTAAGTGTGGCTAGTTAGGTGTAGTGGCTACTTAGGTGTGGTGGCTAGTTAAGTGTGGCTAGTTAGGTGTGGCTAGTCAGGTGTGGTGGCTAGTCAGGTGTGGTGGCTAGTCAGGTGTAGTGGCTAGTCAGGTGTGGTGGCTAGTCAGGTGTGGTGGCTAGTCAGGTGTAGTGGCTAGTCAGGTGTGGTGGCTAGTTAGGTGTGGTGGCTAGTTAGGTGGCTAGTTAGGTAGGTGGCTAGTTAGGTGTGGTGGCTAGTTAGGTGTGGTGGCTAGTTAGGTGTGGCTAGTTAGGTGTGGTGGCTAGTTAGGTGTGGTGGCTAGTTAGGTGTGGCTAGTCAGGTGTGGTGGCTAGTTAGGTGGGTGGCTAGTTAGGTGGGTGGCTAGTTAGGTGTGGTGGCTAGTTAGGTGTGGTGGCTAGTTAGGTGTGGTGGCTAGTTAGGTAGGTGGCTAGTTAAGTGTGGTGGCTAGTTAGGTGTGGCTAGTTAGGTGTGGTGGCTAGTTAGGTGGGTGGCTAGTTAGGTGGGGCTAGTTAGGTGTGGTGGCTAGTTAGGTGGGTGGTTAGTTAACTGAGGCAGCTGGGCAAGTGGAGCTGCTAGTCAGGTGGCGGCCAGGTCAGGGTAAGTGTGTGCTGACACGCAGTCCCGTCCTCTGTCTTCAGACCCACACTTCGCAGGTCCTTGGAGAGCACCCCCTCGGCACCCACATCTGTGGGGGAACGTCTGTCTGTGCGCCCACGCTCTGCGTGTCTTACGGTTTCTCCTTTCGGTGTGGGTTTAGCTGTCTGTGGCGGCCTCTCAGTGCTGAATCTTTCTTTCTCCTGGTACCGGTCGGGGGCCGAGTGGTTGGAGGGAGGGCACGGGCGCCCTGCTGGGCTGCCAGTCTGTGACGGAGGCCGTGCACCCTCACCCACCAGCCCCCCTGGGGCAGACCTCAGGGGCTGTTCAAGGGCACTGTGGAAGCTGGCGTGTCCTGCCGATCTTTGTCCCCATCACCTGCCCAGACGCAGAGTCGATCCTGCAAACCGCACCTTGACCGCTGTGCTCATGTTCCAGGAGACAGGAGGGACAACTACAAGCTGCAGAAAAAGCAAGAACTGGGCGACCCTTCGCCAGGGGCCACGGGCGCGGATGGAACCCAGGAAGCACCCCACGGTGTCTACCAGAGGTGAGGTCCCCACCTAGAGCACACTCGGCCCCTACATGTCACGTTTCTCTCAGCCCTGGACATGGCCTGCAGGTGTCTACCTTCAACCAGATGGAGGCCCAGGCGCCCACCTGCTCCCGCTCTGCACGCGGCCCACCAGGGCACGGGGCGTCAGTCCCTCAGGTGTGGCTGTGGCTTCGTTTCTGGTTTGAAGTGGCCTTCATAGCCCTGACACAGCACCACCTCCTCACTCATACCGTGGGGTCCCCCAGAAACAGACCAAGGGGGCAGGTTGAGGACTAGGGGGCAGGTTGTTTATGGGAGGTGACCCCAGGAAGCACAGTGAGGGAGCAGGAAGTGAGGCAGACGGGTGTCCCCACTGTGGCCTTGACAGGGACTCACCACAGACCACAGGTAGCCGGTCACCTCACTGTTCTGCAGGTCAGGCACCTGGGCAGGTGCTGCTCGTTCTCCGAGTCCCACGTGGGCCCTGATTGGAGGCTCTGGGAAGGCTCTCTCCCGGCTTGCTCAGGTTGTGGCAGAATCCAGTGCCTTGTAGAACAAGGTCCCTGTTTCCTTGTGGCTGTCAGCTGGGGGTCCCCCTGACTCCCTGCACATGGCTCCCACATCCCCGTCACACCTGGGACCTGTCTGCCTCCCTCTTCCGCCACACCTGTGACTCCAGCTGGAGAAACTCCTCTGCCTCAGAGCTCCAGGGTAATCCAGGGTCCTCTCGAATCCCGAAGTCATACCCTAATTGGGACTGCAGAGTCCCAACTGCCATGTAACGTAACATCTTCACAGGTTCAGGGTTAGGGTGGGGACGCCAGTGGGGGACATTGCGTGGCCTACCTCGAAGGGAGAAAAGCCAGAGCCACCTGTGATAATGAAGGGTTTCCAGGGCAACTGAGGCCCAGAGCACTGGCCTCAGGTGTCACAGCCAGTTGCTCCATATCTGTCCCTGCCCAGCTCCAGCTCCGGGTGGAGCTCCAGGAAGGCAAGGACTGCACGTCTCTTATTCACACCTGCAGCTTCAAAACCCAGCACAGAACCTTGCAGAGATGCCTTTATGAATGAACACACGAGTGGATGGGTGGATAGATGCATGATGGATAGATGGGTAGGTGGACGATGGGGTCTTGCAGGATGAATAGGAGTTTGCCAGACAAATAGAAAGAAGAGAGGAAAGATTTCACTGGCAGAAGAAAGAGCATGAAGCAAAAGCAAGGTGGGCTTCTGTGCCTTTGGGCACACTTCTCGGACAGCTGCCTGTGAGGCTAACGGTGGCTCCTGCCTTCTGGTCTAGAAATTCAGCTCCTTTCAGCAAATCAGTCACAGACTGAGAAGGCAGAGAGTAATCCTGGATGCAGGGTGGATGGGACTGAATGCTCCTATTTGCAGAGGCCAGGGGACCGTCAGCGAGGAAGGGAGGGTAACGCCAGCAGGTGAGGTCTCGGCTCAGGAAAGGAGAGGGGAGTGGGCTTTCTTGGGGTCAGGGACCGCTTTCTGCCCAGCTCTGTCCTTCATGGAGGGTCTGGGCTGCCTCTTTCATGATTTCTCAGGTGTGGCATCCGAGGAAAGGGGCTTTCTGTTTTGTGAGGGTGGGGCTCGGGCGACTGCAATTTTAGCAATGTGGGTTCTTCGGGAGAACGCCCCGCCCGGGGTAGGACCGTCTTCTCACTGGTCACTTGCTGTTCAGCACGTCACAGCTGCAGGGCCTCAGGGACGTCCCGCCCTCTAGGCTCCTGCCCCTGGCTTTTCTGCTCTCTGTCCTGCCGATGTCACCAGGCCACCCTGAGGATCCCATAAACGATGTGCCGGAGACGTTCTCTGACCCCCAGCTAGTCACGTCCAGGAGGAGTCAGCCTGTCTTGGAGGGGTCTTGGAGGGGCTCGCCTGTGGCCACGGTGAATCGTGGCTGCAGTCTCTCGGCCTGCTGGATCAGTGCAATGCAATGAAAGACAAGCACGCTGCTTGGAGTGAGGGGGAGCTTTGCAAGGGAGCAAATGCTCCAGATCTTTGGACGCAGTCCCATTTATTTGCAGATTAGTACCCCCAGGTTACAAGTGGATTTATGTAAATTATTTCCTTGAGATGGCATCTCTGCAAACCGTACAGCCTAGCTTTGTCTCTCGCTTTTTACGGCGGAAAGAGACTTTGAACCTAAAAAATAACGAACAGACGTTCTTGAGTCCTAGGACCCATTCATTAGTCCACGCATGCAAAGCTTATCTTATTCACATGCAAATGAAGCACTCTGTGCACCTGGGCTGGCCAGATAGCGAGACTGCATTAACACGAGGTTACAAACCATCCATTTTCCAACCCCCAAACCCCACAGTGGCCATTCTCGCGGCTCCAAGGGCTCAAGGACAGCCACCAGTCACTAATTCGCGGGCCCCTGGGAAAGGTTTGGGCTGGGTCTTGAGTCCCCTGCCAGCCAGGGCAGCACCGACAGCCCCCATTCCCGCTGCCAGGATGCGGGCACAGCAGAAAAAGTTCCTGGCCCAGTTCACGGTCCACCAGCGCATCCGCCTGGACACTTGGCAGCAGAAGGCGAGAGTCCTGGACCTTCTGGAAACCCAGCTGGAGACCCAGTTACAGGTACAAGCTGCAGAGATGGGCCTGGCAGGCCTTTGAAGAGGTGGACAGGGCCAGAGACCGGCCTGTGATCACAGGTCAGAGGGTCTTTGTGAGGGACCCACGCCCCCTCGGGACCTCCCTCACCCCCCGGGCCCTCACTGAGTCTCCCTGGCTGATGACGCGTCAGCCTGCCGACCCACCGTGAGCCTGTGGATCCCGTGTGTCTGCAGCACCCAGCTCGGGCCAGGCCCTGGGCGCAGATCTGTCTTCTGGTGAGCGTCTCCCTGCAGGGGGTCACCAGCATGCGGGCTGCTCAGAGTCAGGGCTGACGTCGGCGTCATTTAGGGGGTGTTGCTGGGGAATGTGGCTCGTGCTGGTCTAGCACATACCAGGGGCTCAATCCGCGTGCCAGAACACGGGCATCTCGTCACAGGAAACTCATCAGTGTGTGATTGAAGCCCGGCTCTAAAGGGAATTAATTGGCTGCCGGTAAAGGAAGCCAGGTGCTGCGGATCGGAGGCCGTGGTGAGAGCGCAGGCCCCGCAGAGCAGAGCCACAAGCCTGGGGGTGATGGTGACGACGAGAACCCGTGAGGGCGGTCCACACGCAGTCACTGAGGCCGTGGGAGCCCCGCGGAGAGTGCACCTCACCACCACGGTCTCCGCCCACCAAGGGGGAGGTCCCTGTTCGACCGGTTAGATGGGGACGGGGCCGCCCAGAGGTCGGGTCACTGTCCAGGTTTGTGTGGTCAAACCACGGGCTGGGAATCAAGGGCTGAGACGAGTCAGGCAGAAGTGGGCGAGATCGGAGCCGCTGCGCCTCTGGCCTCGCTGGGCACCTGTCCCCTGTTTTCTCATCTGCCGAAGGGGATCCGTGGCCAGTGTGCGCGAGGAGGGCAGTTGCCTGGCAGGAGCTGGTTAATGTCAGCCCCCTCCCTCTCCCGTGCCTCTGCCCTGCCCCTGGGAGAATTCTCCACATCCGGGACACACCTGCCAGGCGCCCTGGAGGGGACACACCTGCCAGCTGCCCTGGAGGGGACACACCTGCCAGGCGCCCTGGAGGGGACACACCTGCCGCCGCCCTGGAGGGGCCAGCCCCATCCTGGGGGAGGGGTTGAGAGGGCCCGGCTGATGCTCTGCTTGGTCTTCAGGACGCGGAGCAGAGCTTCATGTCTGAGCTGGCGGCCTTGGCCCGGGTGCCCCTTGCCGAAAGCAAACCATTTCCGAGTAAGCGCGGGCCGTCAGGTAAGTGGTAGGAGGGGGTGTGCGGGGGGCCCTCTGGGCTGGGAAAGGGGTTCCAGTCCCATGTCCTCCACTAACTAGCTGTGTGGCCTTGGACGCTGCACTTACCCTCTCTGGGCATTTGTGTCCTTCCCTATAAATAGCAGCCTCAGTCGGCCCAACCCTGGGCCCCTTGCTCTCTATGGATCAGTAATTCCGATTCCCGGGCCTGCTGTTCATCAGCTGTGTCTGATCTCCGACTGTTCCCTCATCTGTAAAATGGGGATAACCGACCCCTCCCCCCCAACTCAGCGACGTCACAGGGTGTGACAGCCTGGTGACTGGAGAGTGATGGCACGGGGTGCAAAAGTGCACAGGTCTCGAAATAAAATCTGCGTACTGGGGCTGTGTTCTCAGGTGCCCACAGCTTCCGGAGTCTTCCAGTCAGCTGGCTGATTGGAAACAGCCGGAGCCCGGCAGCCCCGGGTTCGAATCCCAGCCCTGCCCCTTATGGGCTACGCGGCTTGGGAAACATGTTAGCCCCTGGGCCTCAGTGTCCTTACAAGTGAAATGGGTGCATCCCCGGCCCAGAGACGCTCAAGGCAGGCTGGGAGGGGGGAGGCCGAGAGGCGCCGTGGCTTCCCTGGGGTGAGAGCCCGTGTCCGGGTTCTTGTGTCTTCACAGAGAAGCCCCTAAAGACCAAAAGGAAGAAGCCCCCGCTCCGGGAAAGAGGGGACGCCGGGGGGCCCAACCACGAGGACCCTGCCTCTGGGGAACACCCCTCAGGATCGCTCAGGTACAGCGGGACCCCCGGGTGCCATGGATCACCCACGGCCGGCGTGCGCCCGGGCAGATGCAGTCAGGGTTCTGACGGGGGCGTTCCTTCCGCGCTTCACACAGCAAAAGGCTGAGCCAGCAGGAAGGCGATGTTGGCGACGGTGAGAATCCCAAGAAGATGCTAAAGAAAAGGAGCCAATTGTAGTGTAAAGCCGATCACTGGGGACGCTGGGGACGGAACCTGCAGACCTGGCCTGAGGGCGCCTGCTCCTCCCCCGCCCCCCCAGAGACCCAGGAGGGACCCCCACCCGGGAGATGGGGCTCCTCTGCGCTGCAGACTTGTGAGGGGTGGAGGGTGGATGATGTTCATGTGCCTGGAAGAGCACATATGTGGCCGACTGGTCGTGGCTCAGCGGCTGAGTGTTGACCCTGCACCAAGAGGTCGCCGGTTCGATTCCCCGTCAGGGCACATGCCCAGGTTGTGGGCCGAATCCCCAGTGGGGGCATGCAGGAGGCGGCCAGTCGATGTTCTCTGTCATCCATGTTTCTATCTCTCCCTCTCCCTTCCTTTCTCTCTAATATCAATAAAGAACAAATATTAAAAAAATAAAAAAAAGAATCTTTAAAAAAAAAAGCACAAACGGGTGTTGCAGACCCTGTGGCCCGGGACAATCAGACACCCCAGGGGTGGACACGCTTTGGCTCTGTCCCTCGGGCATCTCTTCTTCCTGGTTCCCTGTCCCCCCGCTGCTGCCCGGAGTCCCCAAACCTGTCTTCCCTGGTGTGAGGCCCTCACTGCAGCCTGGGCCCCTGCCCTGTGCCTTCGGGCGGTTCTGGGAGGGGAGGGTCTCCGGGCACGGCTGGTGTTTCTGGGTCGAGACTTTTCGTCTCCGTGTCCGTCCCCTCCCTCTCTGTCCCAGGAACCGTGGCCACTGGCTGCCACAGGGACCTCAGCTGGACCCATTCCCGCCTGGGCTCAGCCAGCAGCTAAGGCCTGGTCACCCGGGGTCTGAGTCTCAGGGCCCCCCGACCCCGACACAGGTGCAGACAGCACCCCCTCCCAAGGAGGAGTGTTCGGGGGGCACCACTCCCCCAGTGGACGGTGAGCATGCCCGGAAGCTTCCAGACCAGCCCCCAGAAACCGCTGCCAGGAGAGGCCTTTCCACCCAGAGAGAAAACGTCATGGGAATGAGGGATCCGCAGCCTTGGTGTGTGGACTTGCGGGTGAGATGGGTCTGTCTGGGGAGGGGCCGTCCTGGGCATTGCAGGGTGTCTGGCAGCACCCCGGGCTCTACCCACCAGATGCCACCAGCACCCCCAGTGTGACAATGTCTGCACACACGCAGATGTCCCCTGGCAGTCGTCACCCACCGACCTCAGGCCATCCCGGCGGAGAGCTCAGTGTTCACCACCCCGAGTGCGGTGGGCTCTAGGCCCGGGGAGCCACTGTCTCGGGGTTTCTGGACTATCTAGCACCTGCATTTCTATTTCTTCTAACCTACATCAGACTCAGGCAGGAGAGCGGCCCGGCATTCCCAAAACTAACCCACAGCGCCCCCTTGTGGCCACATAAAATACTTCCTGAATCTGCAGGGTCTTGAACAAAGTTCCTTCTGTCAGTATCTTGAGAATCTGTTTCACGTAGAAATCATGTTTCTTTTTGTCAGCTGAGGCCTTCTGGTGGGACGGTCTGATTTGGTGACAAGACTATGGGAAAGGCAGTCATGCTGGCTGCCTCGGCCTCCACCTTGCGGGGCTGCCTCGGTCTTGCGGGGAGAATTGTTTGACTTCTTAGGTGTAGCTTCCTTAGCCCGAGGGAGCACGTCACAGGTCGCATGCTGTGGGACCCTCCCGCACCCTGACCCCCAGCGACTGCACCTGGCAGTTTGGGGCACATCCCGTCTTGATAAAGCCTTCAATGACAACACCCCGGCAGGCCAGTGGGCCGTTTATTTTATTTTTTCACAAGCTTTGAATTCAGAAATGAGAGCCACAATAAGCCAGTCGGTAAGTAAAAATGGGGGTGATTACAAAGAAAAACTTTGTACAAAACTTTAAAAATCTGACTGCCCCGTCAACCTCCTCAGAGACAAGGGCACAGGCAACTGGAAGCAGCCGCCACCCCACGGCCGTCAGCCCTGGACGGGGACAAGGGACGCCTTTCTGAGCACACGGCCGGCTCGGCCCGACGTCCAGAGCTGGCTGGAAGGGTACGCACAGACCGGAAAGGTGTCATGGCCAGTGGCATGCGCCACAGAGACCAGCCTTCCCGACGCGGCGCGGTGGCCCTGCTCAGAGCCCCCCTGCCTCTGACAACCCAGGGGGCCCAGCGGGTGAGGGGGCGGGCGTCTCTCCAGGGCAGACTGAGGGTGGGCGGTGCGTGAACGTCTTCCTGTCCAGTGGGCAGTTGCCCTGAGGGCCGGAGGGCCTGGCCTGGTGTCTACATCGATCCTCGGTGACAGTGACGTGCCGTCAGATGCTCACACGGACTTCCACACGGAACAACATGCATCAACTACCCTAGAACAGCTACAGGGGTGCAAAGGAACCACTCAAGAATCACGGAGCCCGGGGCTGGGAAGTGGAGGGGACGGTACGAGACGACGCTGGGACCGCGCTCACTGAGGAGGGCAGTGGGGACCCCATGCTCGGCGTGGGCGTCGGCATGGGCACGCACGGGGGCAGGGACTTCCCAAGCAAACATACCACTAGTACCACTTCCTCCTAAACGAAAAAGGGAAGAACATCATTCGGTGTGTCCCCGCTCAGTACCAAATAAAACTATGGGTTTGAAAAACACTGACGGAGAGGAATGGACATCATTCCCAGAATCCTTCACTCGAGCTCATCCACTCCTGTCAACCGAGGCTGGTGATGTTGCAGCGGCCACCAGGGGGCGCCACGATGCGGTGGCCGGTGCGCCTGGGGTTGTTGTCATCTGTCTGGGCACCTGAAAGAGACAGCCAACCAGTTCTGTCATCAGCTCCACTTCCTGCTCCTGAGGACCGGGTACCTCCCAGACCCCTCATCTCGCCCAGGCCCGGCCCACCTCTGGGGAGGCTCCCCGACCTCACAGCACACACTGCTTTCTCCGCTGTGCCCACTCAGACCCTGGGTCGCCCTCCTGCAGCCCCGGCCACACTGAGCTCTTTCTTGTGTGGCTTCACGTTCTTGAGACAGGTGGGCACACACTAACGGAGGACCTACTGTGTGCGGGCACAGACTTGGTGCTGTAACATACACTGATGAGCCTGGAGCACATGAAAGGGGTGTTTTTACTCCCAACTCACGGGTGAGGAATTTGAGGCTCAGCTCTCACTTCTTGGGGGACACACCTAGAGGGTGGGGAAGCCAGGTCAGCACCAACTGGTTTGCATCCAGGGCCTGATCCTACCACGCGGTCAGAACGCCACTTAGCACAGGGCCCGATGCTCCAAGGGTGTTTCACGCGTGCTGTGCTTGGGCGTGCGTGCGTGTGCATGTGTGTGAACTGCAAGAGTTGGAATTACCTCATGTGCAAAGGGCAGGTCTGGATGGGGGTCAGCGTTGTTTATTTTAAACCTGCAAAGCCAACCATCCATTCTCATCTCATGCATGCTCTTGTAGTTAAATACAGATTGAAAATGCCAGCACCAAGCCCAGTGTCTGGTGCTTGCTGAGTACGTAGTAAATGAAGGAACAGCGGGTGGTGGATAACGCCAGAAGGAAGGGGGAGAAGGCGCGAGGGTCCAGTCGGGGCATTGGGGTTCCAGAACGAACCATGCCTGCAATTGGGTAATCTCGAATCACCCACGCCCCTTGCTCAGCCTGACTCCCTCTTTCGTGAAATAAGAGTGGAGGCCCCTCCAGCCGGGACATTACATGATGTGGGGAAGCCACGAGGAACCTGGATTCGAGTACGGACTGATTTTCTCTCGCCGTTTCGTTGGTAGCCGGTGTATCTTCCTGGTGGTTCAGGAGTCTCCTGAAGGCCCAGAAATCAGGCCTACGCTTGCTACCTTTCCCCTCATCGTCACCTGCTCCCTCCTGGTCACATGTCTGCTTCTTTGAAAATACCCGAGGGACAAAAGGACACCTGTGCAATAAGTCATGCTACACCCTACAACGTCACATCACGCAGACACGTAAAAGGACGTGTGTGACACTGTTCCTGGTGTCACAAAGTGTCTCCGCTGTTGGCAGCAAATGAAGTCCCATGTCCGGCTGCAGTGAGGCTGGCCACGGGCAGCGCTGGGCCCCCGAGCCAGGGGGGCGGGGCCCTCCAGCAGCCTGTCTGGGTCACAGGGGCTCTCCGTGGTTCACAGCAGGTGTGAATGAGGGGCGGTGACAGTCCCACCCAGTCTCCCAGCATCGCTCCAGTCTCTGTTCTGTTGACTGAGTGTCAGATGAGAGACTCAAGTTGTGTTTAGGGTCTGTTTGTGCAAAAATAGTTACCTGTGAACATCTGAGTGACATCAGTGTACAAGGCAGGCTCATGGGAAGCGAGTGGGGCTGGACTGGGACCCCGATCCTCACCCAGTCACTGAGCGAGACACCCTGTGGATGGAAGGTCTGTCTCCTCCCCAGTGTGAACTGGGGTTTCATCTCTCTGTCCCTCGCACTCTTGTTTTTTTTATTTTTTATCCTCACCCGAGGACATTTTGTTCCATTTTTTGTTCAGATAGAGTGAGAGGGAGAGAGAGGAACAGAGAGAAACATCGACATGAAAGGGACACATCGAGTGGCTGCCACCCGCACGACCAACCAGGGCCGGGGACAAACTGTAACCGAGGTAAGTGCCCCTAGTGGGAACCGAACCCGGGTCTCTCTGGACCGCAGGCCGACGCTCTAACCGCCGAGCCAACTGGCCAGGGCCCTCGCACTGTTTTTGCTAAGGTTTCGCCTTCTCCGTCCAGAGGGAGGGGGGCGGCTAATGGACAAGGTGCACGCTGTCTCCCTCAGAGCCCTGCGGGCACCAGGCCCAGCGGACGAGGGCTCCTGCTTTGGCACAGCTCGTGCTATAAGAACAGTTCTTACGTTTTTAAACGGCTGCACTTCAATGGCCATTTCATCTTACACCATCTTGGTGGGCGGAGCCTAAAATATTGACCATCTGGCCCTTTAATGAAAAGTCTGCGGACCCTGGAATAGACGGGGGGCTGCCTTGCCCACCACCGCGCTCCTAGGGCCCAGCACAGCGTCTCACACGCTTCCGCCCCCGCTGCTCTGCAGGGTGATCCCAATTCCATGCTCGGCGCTGTGCGTGCCTGCCCCCCGGGTGACCTTGTGACACTGCAGACGGTGTCCCTGGGGCCCTCATAAATCTGAGGGACCAGCCCAACTTCAGATTTTGTCCACACACGTTTCTTGAGCACCAAGTCCTGAATTTCTCGAGGTCTCAATTTCCTCTTTAAAGAAACAGGAACTCGACCAGCTGAAGACATGCCCAGAGGACAGACGGTGGCTACTGTCACCTCTCCACGGGTAAGAGTGAAAGTGTCCCCACGTGTGCTGGGGGTTGAGCCCAGGTCTACGCAGAGGCTGAGTAAGGCAGGGTCGGCACCTACGCCGTCCCGTGGCCCTCAGCATTGACCCGCCAGCCCACAGCGCCCCGCCCAAGGAGAGGTGGAGAGGTCCCTCGGTCCCCTCCCGATTGTTCACGGGGGAGGGCCCTTGGCACCGCGGTGGGTGCGGACCCCTGGCTGCTGCGCCTCGTACCTGACAAGCTGAAGTTGGACTGGTGGAGGTTTCTGAAGGGCGCCGGCTGCTGTTTGGAAGGCGAGGATTTGGCGGAAGGAGCAGGAGTTGCATACTTGGGAGTAGCTGGCACCTCATACACGGGCCCGTCGTACATGCCCCTGGGAACCCCTAGCAATCCGGAGACCTAACGGAGGGAGGGGGGGGCGGCTAGTGGACAAGGTGCACGCGTGCGGGCAGGACAGTGACCGCACACACCACACGGCGCCTGCTCACTCCACATACACACATGCACATACATGCCTAACACCACACACAATCCAACACACATAAAGACATACATGCGCACATGTACATAGGCATACACACAGGATTATACACTCAAACGTGCATTCACACACGTGCACTCAAGCACACACCACACACATAGACATGTACACAGGCATACACATGGTTATATACACACACATGCACACATACATGAGCACACAAGCACACACATACACATGTACACAGGCATGCACACGTGCATGCACACACAGGCATGTACACATACACACAAGCTGGCTTTCCTGGCAAACATCAGCCCTTCAGTGTGGGAGGCTGGTGGCTGTGGTGACCGGAGGGACCCGATTAGGGCAGACAATGGGCACGGGTGCGAGTTTGTCGAAAGTGTGGGCAAGCTTCCTCCTCTGGACTGGACTGGGCCAGAGCCTGCCCCACGCCCTTTGACCTCCCAAGGTCAGAACCAAGACTCTCCCAGGGAAAAGGGGAAAGAAGGGTGCAGAATGGAAGGGACGAAAAGGAAAGAGAAAGAGGGTGCCCTCCCGTCCCCCACGCTTGCTAGGGCTGTGATCTTTGCTAAATGGCGACACTACTCCGGGTGCAGGGCTCTCCCAGCGGGTGACGCCGGCCAGTCCTTCACTGCCCTGAGCACCAGGGTGCTGACCTGCAGAGGGATCGCGACCCCTCCCAGAGGGGGTGAGGGGTGCACCCCAGTCAGTTACACACAGCCCCTCTCCCATCCCCACTGGCGCGCCCCTTTCCAGTCTGCAAGCCCTGGGACCCCCACGGTCCGGCTCTGACGCCAGCCCTGAGGTGGAGGCAGGACAGGGCCACAGCTCAGGCGACAGGCGAGCGAAGGGAGGCTGCGAGGTCTGCGAAGGCTGCGCGGGGACCCCAACACGCACCTTGTTCCTGATTCGGACGCGCTGGTAGAGATGCTCGGGGAAAGGCTTCCGCGGGATGAAGCGGCCCATGCCCTTGTTGACGTTGATGTCGCCGTCCTCGTAGACGATCTTGCCCTGGCTGATGACCACCAGCGGGGAGCCGTGGCACTCCATGCCCTCGAAGATGTTGTACTCCACAGCCTGCCAGCGAGAACCATGCTGTGCCCTCACGGCTCCTGGCACGGCCCTGGTCCCACCGGGACGCTACTCAACCTCAGACCACAGGCGCTTCCCAGGGGTTCTTCTGAAGACACCATCTTTAGGGCTGTGTAATATTCCACCATGGGCTCTTCCAACCCACTGGGACGCTACTCAACCTCAGACCACAGGCACTTCCCAGGGGTTCTTCTGAAGACACCATCTTTAGGGCTGTGTAATATTCCACCGTGGGCTCTTCCACGTGCATCACCAACCCCTCACTACTGGCATTTAGGTTGAGAGTGGTTTCCTAGAATTACACTAATACTATCTGAGGCATCATGAATGAGTGGGGCCCCAGGAGTAAGGCCGTGTGGCTGCTCTGACCGGAACAAACATTTCTGTGTCTTTTCAAAAATATATTTTGTCAGTCTGTTCCCTGCTTCCATGTCTCTGGATCTGTCTTGTTTGTCAGTTTATTTTGTTCATTAGATTCCACATATAAGTGAGATAATATACTTATGTTTCTCTGACTGGTCTATTTCACTCAGCATAATACTCTCCAGGTCCCTCCATGTCGTCCCAAAGGGTAAGAGATCTTTCTTTTTCACAGCTGCATAGTATTCCATTGTGTACATGTACCACAGCTTTTTTATCCACTTGTCTACTGAGGGGCACTTGGCCTGTTTCCAGATGTTGGCTATTGTAAATAATGCTGCTATGAACACAGGGGTGCATATATTCTTTCTGATTGGTTTTCAGGGTTCACAGGGAATAGACTGATGAACCTCAGAGGGAAGGGGGACAGAGGGGCAGGAAGAGATAAACCAAAGAACTTATATGCATATATGCATAACTAATGAACACAGACAATAGTGTGGTGAAGGCAGGGGGGTGAGGTGGGAACGGGGAGGAGGGAGTCAATTGGGGAAAAAAGGGGGGACATCTGTAACAATTTCAACAATAAAGATATTATATGTGTGTGTGTGTGTGTGTGTGTATAGTCTTTAGGACAGGCTAGTTCTCTAAAATTAAATTGCTGGGTCAAGGGACAGGAGTGTTTTGCGGCACTTCCTGCCCATGGCCAAGTTCCATTCTGACGGTTGCAGACCGCGGACAGCGCACTGGCCTGGGGCGAGACCCTACAAGATTTCATGTCTACGAAACCCGTCCGGCGAGGGCACGGTTGTTTTCACATTTTTTCTTTCTGCTATTTGAAAGATAAACCATTTCTTTAAAATACACGTTCTTTTCATTACTCCCAAAGTGATACGGTGAGCACCAGCCGACGGCTTCTGATTATTTAAAAAGCAGGTCCTGTGCACGGTACAGAAATTCCAGCATCGGCCTCGGGGAGAGTCCTCTGTGCCCCCAGTGGTTCCGAGCACGGATAATGAAGGGTGTCCCCCTAATCTCAGCGTGTCCCCCAATCTCGGAGATCACACCATGGCAGCACGTGTACGTGCTCTGAAAACACCCCCAGCGTTCGTTAACCGCGGACCTCCCCCCCCCCCCCGGGATGTGCTGTGGCTCCTGCCCCAGCCCGCACCTGGCCAGACCCTGCTGAAGGGCCCGTCCACGTGTGCCCACGGGCGTGTGCGGGCAGCTTCCCTGGACGGGTCTGCCCTCCAAACAGGTGGCACCGGTTTCAATTCCCAACACAGCCCCGTGCGCGCCTGCCTCCGGCGGTCTGGTCACAGCCGCGTCCCCTCACCCCCTGGCGCTCAGTCACCGGCACAGTGAAAACTGGCACCTGACCGTCGTGACCTGCGCTCAGCTAGTTACCAGTGAGACTGCGTCTGGTTTGAAATGAGTGTCGGCCACCAGCGTTTCTTCTGTCACTGCGTTGCGTTTCTGCGGTTCTACTGACTAGGGCCTTGGGAAGGGCGTCTGTGGTCTCTCGGCCTTCGGGGGCATTTGCAAAGCGCAGAGATAACCCCCGCCACAGGCCTGGGCTGGGAACACCGGGAGCCACACCCTGGCTGTGCACCAACAGGGCACCCAGAACACAGCAGGGGGCTGCTAACCTGGAGGAGGGCTCCGGCCAGTGAGGGCGAGGGGGCAGGCCAGACAGTGCGTGCTGGTGCCAGCTGCAGAGCACAGTCCCCCGCTGCAGTCACGCAGGACCGGCCGCCGGCATCAGCCTCCCTCGGCTGGGGACCGCGCACATCGCGCTCACCCACAGGGCTGTCACATGGCCCAGACCAACAGGACTCACCGATTTGTGACTCTTGGCCGTTATGGTCTTCACCTTGTCGGGGTCCCAGATGACCACGTCGGCATCGGAGCCCACGGCGATCCGGCCTTTTCTGGGGTACAGGTTAAAGATCTTGGCTGCGTTGGTGCTAGTGACAGCGACAAACTGGTTCTCGTCCATTTTGCCGGTCGCCTAAAGAGCAAGATCCACGGGTGAGAGGGTCCCGGGGCAGGGCCGGCAGCAGGCAGACAGACAGCTCAGCCCGGAGCGGGGTGCCCGGCCATGAGCTTGGAGTTCTCTCCCCTCCCGGCCAAGAGCACCAGGGGCCCGGCCCCATCACAGGGAGCCGGAGTCAACCGCTCAGACACACGTGTGCATGACAGCCATCACGGCACCCTGTCTGTGTCACAGGGCCCATGTGTAATAGAAAATAAAGACCTTTGTCCGGCCGGTGTGGCCCAGTGGTTGAGCGCTGACCTGTGCACCAAGAGGTCACCGGCTCAATTCCCGGTCAGGGCACATGCTCAGGTTGTGGGCCCGATCTCCAGTGGGGGGCATGCAGGAGGCAGCCAATCGATGTTCTCTCTCATCGATGTTTCTATCTCTCTCTCTCTCTCCCTTCCTCTCTCTCTAAAATCAATAAAGGAAAAATAAAATAAAATAAAAACCTTTGTTTCAAGTCAGAGAGTCATCTTTACAGGAACTACAATGTGGTTACAGACAAAACAAAACGTCATTCTTGAGGAGTAGGGGACAGCTGCGACCGGAGGACCTTGGGCCAGGTGCCCGTCCTTGGGAGTCACCGGCCCCTCGTGGGTCCCCTGGTATGCTCTGCTTCGGCCTCCAAGCAAGGCCGAAAGGACAGTTAAGAATCATGATGCACTGGCTTTGGATGGACCGGGGGTGGGGGGACTACTTCTAGAAAGTTCCTGGGGGAGAGACAGGTGCCACCTTACCACCGCCTTGTCCCAGACGACGGTCATCCGCTCCTCAATCCCGTTGACGCCCTCGGGGATCAGAGTGAAGTTGTCCTTGCCCACAGCCTTCTGGGCGGTGCTATAGGGACAGTGGCCGCTGCCCGTGACCTGCAGGTCTCCACTGGCAGGAACGAAAACAGGGCGGGCTCAGCTCGGGGCGAAGGGTGAAGGGCGAGCCCCAACCTCAGACACTCAGCACAGGCTTGACTTAAAGCCTCAGGCAGACTGGGCAGCGGCTGGGCCCGTCCCAGGCGCCAGGAGAAGGCCCCCTGGCCGTGGGGTCTTGCATAAAATAAAAACGAAGGAGCCCCAGACCTGGGGAGGAGGTTCCGGGTTAGCATGGGCTCCGGGCTGGTCTGGGGAAGGCTCCCCAGGTTGCCCCCTCATCCTCACGTGGGGAGGGAGCCACCGCCCAAGAGGGCCAGGCGATGCTGCCTGAAAGGCTCTGACCCTGCCTGGGACAGCTGGCCCGGGGCGGGGAGGGGGCAGGCGGGGTTCCGGCCTTGGGACCTCATGGCGGCTGTGGGACCTCATGGCGACTTGTTTTTCACTTGGAGAGGAGAGAACACTGAAGGTCTTCAGGAAGGAAGTGGGGGCTCAGTCTGATTTAGGTTTAAAATATCTGGGTTCCTGCTGGGAGCAGGCTGCCACACGAGGGGACGACACGAGGGGGCATGGAGGGGGCACAGGGAAGTAGAAAGGACGGGAGGGAGGAGAGACGGCAGCAGCGGGAGCTGAGATGGCCACAGCCCGGGCCCTCGGTCCGTGTCCTGTGTCCCCTGGCTCGGGCACCACGGTGGGAGCAGCTCTGTGGGGAGGGGGCGTGTACTCTGGACTGGGGCTGCCCACCCGGCTGGCTGCAGGTGACGAAGAACCTGGCGGCTACGCACGTCCAGGGCTCACCTCTCTCGGGGGAACATTTCCATGTGGGTGCACAGCTTCGGCCCCTGCGCCTCCTGCCTAGAAGCCCCATCTTACCCTCACCCATCACGCAAGCTCATCCCTGAGCTCCAGGGAGCTTCCTGCAAGTCTCCTGGCTCTGAGCAGCCCGCACACCTCAGCTCTGAGTGTCCTTCCCTCGCCTGGCCGCCTGGCCGACAGCACGGAGGGGAGTGGCCTGCGCCTGCACCCGGGCACAGCGCCCCCAGTGAGCGGCAGGCCAGGCTTCCATCCACCTCCTCGGGCAGCTCTGTGGCAGGGGCTCGGGTCTGTGACACGGCCACAGTGGCCCCGGCAATCAGGATTCCAGTGCTGGTCTCTCACCCCTAATCCTGGCTGCTCCCCAATATCCCCAACGGGGACACCCAGGAGGTGTTACGTCGTCGCTGACTGAACGGAGGTGGTCAGAGTGCAAATGGAAGGGACGCTGAGGCAGACCCCGGCCCCGAGGCCTGCGTGGAAGATCGGAGCTTTGTCCGGAGCCCGCCTGGTTTCCGCCCCGGCCCTCTGCCCCCCGGGCCCCTCTGGCTCTCACCAGGCCAGCAGGGAGGTCAAGTAGTCGGGCGTGGTAGGGTCGGGGCTCAGGGGAGGCGAGGTCACGAACGCCGCCGCCTTGGCCCAGTTCTTGCTCCAGTAATGGGTGCCGTCGGTCCCCAGGCTGGCGGCGATGGGCTCGCCAAACACGAGGGGGCCTTGGGGGACAAACACAAACACGTGTGGTTAAGAGCGAAGGGAGATATTGATGCAAAAAAGAAGCAGACCTCGGGCTGGAGAAAATAAATCGGCCAAAGGCAGTACATCGTCCATCCTTGTCCCAGGCCCCACCCCAGGTTCCCCAGCCCCCGGCACTCAGGACCCCGCTGTCCCCCTCAGCATGGCTCTGGATTGGCTGTTAGTTCTGGAACAGGACCCCTATATCCTGTTACAGATCGGCCGCCGGAGGCAGAGACGTGGTCTGCTGTTCCCATGGGGCTCCGCCAGCAGCCAATCTTCGAGGAGGCATCAAGTTCATGTAACATCTGGGAGGCGACTCCAGGACACACTGGCTGGGGACTGGGGATGTGACCCACGGGGGACACAGAAGCCAAGGGAAGGTGAGCCGTCACCATGACTGTGGGCACCGGCAGCCTAGTGCTCAGGGACCCTGTGAATCTGAGCTGCCGCAGAGCCACCCACACCGGGGGCCAGGGGCGGGCTGGGCCCCGCGCGTGGACGGGCGGCTGTGCCTCTGCAGGAACAATCTCTGCAGGACGCAAACGTCAACAGCACCTATGACTACCCCAGCGACAGAGGTCAGACGTGCCTTGCCCAAGGTCGCGCACGGCACATGGAGCCTCAAACCGACTGCATGTCTGCCTGCCACCATCCCATCCCCTTCCCGGTCGCAGGAGCCCAGGGGCCAGACTCCCGGCAGCGGCACTGTCTGCCCCGGGCAGGGGCTCCGTCAGGGAACCTGGAGCTGCCCACAGGGCCCGGGCCCTGGCTGCGCACCTCTCTTCCGGGCCAGGGCGATGATGTCGGCCGCACTCTTGCTCATCACCTTGGTGATGTACACGGGGCAGTTGATCCGGCCTGCAATGGCGATGGCCCGGAACACGGCCTCGGCCTCCAGCTGCGGCACAGCAAGTCCACAGGTCACGGGAGGGAGGGAGGGAAGGAGGGAGGGAGGGCAGCCACCACCCACCCGGGGCTCCCTGAAGCAGAGTCCTCCGACTCCCCTCACATGTGGTCAGAGAAAAACCTGTTGCCACAAAGGAGGGACATATTGTAGATTCAGAACAGAAAGAGCCCTGGTCAGTGTGGCTGAGGGTTGGAGCATCGTCCCATGCACCAAACAGTCTTGGGTTCGATTCCCGGTCAGGGCACATTCCCAGGTTGCAGGTTCAATCCCTGGCCTCAGTCGGAGCACATGTGGAAGGCAACAGATCGATGTTTCTCTCTCTCTCCCTTCCTCTCTCTCTCCCTTCCTCTCTCTTGAATCAATGAAAAGCATATCCTCAGGTGAAGGTTAAGGAAGGAAGGAAGGAAGGAAGGAAGGAAGGAAGGAAGGAAGGAAGGAAGGAAGGAAGGAAGGAAGGAAGGAGGGAAGGAGGGAAGGAGGGAAGGGAGGGAGGGAAGGAGGGAGGGAGGGAGGGAGGGAGGGAACATTAAATCAAAATCCATTTGGTTCGAGGATTGGAAGGCAGACTATGTTCTCTGCTGCTGGACGCATTCTGCATGTTCTGTTAGTGGGGATACATTGGGCAGAACAGGGCATCAAAAGGCCCATAGAAAGGTCCATGGTTTGTAAAACGCCTGACATCAGTGAACCGTGCGTCCGCCATGCCTTCCTTCCTTCCTTCCTTCACCAGGCGAGGCCACCCGCTGTTGCCTTTGGCCTCTGCCCCTCCAGGCCAGTGCTTCCTGAACGAAGGTCCAGTCAGGTTTTGTACAGTTGCGTTTTTAATTTCCAGTCTGGTGATGCCTCAACCGGGGTCCTGCTGCCCATGGCTGGCACGCAGCACTGGTGCCACGTCCACATGATATGAAAGTTTGTGAACCCGTCTGCGGGTCTGTTCTGGTCTCACCAGCGGCCTGTGGGCGGCGTGCTCACCTGCAGGTCACTGGGCTGGATCAGTGTCTGGCACGGGGCCAGGCCCAGGTGCAAATCAGGGAGGACCGATGTGATTTGATGAGGACAAAGGGAACATCCTCAACTCAAGGCTTTCGGGGAACTCTACTTGCCTTCTTCTGTCCTCCTACACACATACACACATGCGTGCACGCACGCACGCGCATACCTGTGTGCACACACACACATGCATACCCACGTGCACGCACACACACATATACATACCCACATGCATGCACACACATACACACGTGCACAACACAATGCATACCCACGTGTGCACACACATGCATATCTACATGCACACACACGTGCACACACATGCATACCCACATGCACAACACAGTGCATACACATGATGCACACATGCATACCCACATGCACGCACACACATACACACATGCACACACACACAATGCATACACCTGATGCATGCACACACACCCAATGCATACACCTGATGCATACACACACACACACACACACACACACACACACTCCCAGGGGAATCCATCATTTTCGAGTCCCAGGAACCCAGTGGGCAGCGGGCAGGGACAACTGTTTCACAGGCATAAGTCCTGGGACATGAGGCTCCCTGTCTTAATATCAAATATGCTAAGACCCCCATAAGGGTCCTTATCCAGTTCGGACATGGACTGTCCATGGGGCCTTGGTGTGAAGTTTCTAGACTTCCTGGGCTCTGGGGTCAGAGTCTCCCCCCGGCTCCTCTGATTGGCCTACAGCCTCCAGGGCTCCTGAGTCCAAGGGCAGAGCCTGGGGAGGGCCGCACGTGCTGGAAAGGGCAAGTAGGGGGCACGGCAGGGAGCAGGGGGCACGGCAGGGAGCAGGGGGCACGGCAGGGAGTAGGGGGCACGGCAGGGAGCAGGGGGCACGGCAGGGAGCAGGGGGCACGGCAGGGAGCAGGGGCTCCAGCTGGGGTACGCTCAGCTATGTCAGAGACACACCAAGTGCAAGGCCCCTTTACCTCCTCGGGTCTGCTCAGAGCATGGCCCTCGGGACCCGTGATGCCCATCTCTAAGATCCGCTTCTGTTCCTGCAAGAAAGAACAATGAGTCAGCGATGACAGAACCTCCGAGATGGGAGAGGACGATCCTCCGACCCCCACTCCCTTAGCCAGATGAACAGCTGAGGACCAGAGGGTGCAGGGCTCTACCTTGGGCTGGGGCAATCCAGGGCTCCCTGCTCCTTCCTCTGTCCCCGCCCACCTTCCCTTCTGCAGCCCTGGTTCTCGACACCATGCCTGCTCTCTGGGCAACCCCTGGGGCCAGCGAGAGGAAGCTGGTGGGTAACAAGTGAGCCTCAAAGCCCAGCCGCTCCCTCCCAGTCTCTGCGCCTCTGCTGCAGGGCTCTCTGGGGGAACACAGTGGTCTGGGTGGTGCATGGATATGGAAACCAGCGCCCTGAACTGGGAGTCCAGCTCCAGGACGGACCATCTCGGCGACCCTGGGCAAGTTGGTCAAGCCTCAGTCTTCTCGGCCTTACTCTGGGGACAAAGGCACCTGCATCGCCGAGGTCCACTGCGAACGAACGAGGCAGCACGTGTAAACGCTATCGCGGCACCTGTGTCCCGTCGGCTCATCCAGCAGGAAACCTCTACCTCAAGTTCATCCTATCACCTTGAAATGTTCCCTGAGCTAATGGCCCAGATTCTAATCCATTTGCTCCGAGTTTTCTCGCCCCAGAAATACTTTCGTTTCTCCAAAAGAAATTATTTTTACTTTGCCCAGATGTCGGCTGTGCTGCTGCTATTTTTAACTCCCGTGGCTTCCGCGCCCCATTCTTCCCGGAGCCCCGGGCCGTGTCACCCGTGAAAAACCAGTCTCCACCGCATCTATGGCTGACGCCTGAGCTCATGGCAGGAACATAAACTGGAAACAGTTTCAAGATCCGACAGCTGGGGGTGGATCTGAGTAAACAGTCATTTCGGCTACCGAAGATGATGTTTACAAAGCATTTCTGTAAACTGTTTATACAGAGATTTTATGACGTGGACAGATCCCTATGCAAGATTATTTAAATGTCAGTTACTCTTTCTGTTGGAAGAAAGAAAAAAAGGAAGAGAGGTGGGAGAGAAGGAAGGAGGGGGGTGGGCAAAATGACAAGAGGAGGAAAACATCACTAAGGACTGGATGGAGTAGGGCTTCTAGGTAAAGATCATGGGCTGAGCACATGCTTTGTTTTTGCTCCCTCCAAAGCCCCACTAAAGGGACAGAAAAAGACACAAAAGCCAAGAGAATGCAGAGAAGACAACAGAGACAAACTTTTGGAGGCTACACAACAGATGTCCAAAAGGTCACGGAGTTATGAGAGCCGGGAGAACGAACTCAGTCGGCTGCGCGGGAAGCTAAGAAGCTGGGAACTGGGGCTCCAGCTGCTGGTGAGAGTGTCAGCTGGACCTTCTGGAAAACTGTCCAGCAGTAACTACTGATGCTGACTAACACACAGCCATCACCAGCAGCCCTGCACCTAGGGATATACTAACAGAAATGTGAACGCAGGTTTACCAAAAGACAGATCCAGGAGGTTCATGAAAACTTTAAACATAATAGCCCCCAATTTAAAACTATCCAGATACACATCACCTGGAGGAACCATCATGACAGCCCCCCGCAGCGGGATTCTACAGGAGGACACATTGTGATATACTCCCACATAGGGATTCTACAGAGGATACACTGTGATATACTCCCACAGAGGGATTCTACAGGAGGACACAGTGTGATATACTCCCACAGATGGATTCTACAGGAGGACACACTGTGATATACTCCCACAGAGGGATTCTACAGAGGATACACTGTGATATACTCCCACAGAGGGATTCTACAGGAGGACACATTGTGATATACTCCCACAGAGGGATTCTACAGAGGATACATTGTGATATACTCCCACAGATGGATTCTACAGGAGGACACACTGTGATATACTCCCACAGAGGGATTCTACTGGAGGACACATTGTGATATACTCCCACAGAGGGATTCTATAGGAGGACACACTGTAATATACTCCCACAGAGGGATTCTACAGGAGGACACACTGTGATATACTCCCACAGCGGGATTCTACAGGAGGACACATTGTGACATCCTCCCACAGAGGGATTCTACTGGAGGACACATTGTGATATACTCCCACAGCGGGATTCTACAGGAGGACACACTGTGATATACTCCCACAGAGGGATTCTACAGGAGGACACATTGTGACATCCTCCCGCAGTGGGATTCTACAGGAGGACACACTGTGATATACTCCCCCAGAGGGATTCTACAGGAGGACACACTGTGATATACTCCCACAGAGGGATTCTACAGGAGGACACATTGTGATATACTCCCACAGAGGGATTCTACAGGAGGACACATTGTGACATCCTCCCACAGAGGGATTCTACAGGAGGGCACACTGTGATATACTCCTACAGCGGGATTCTACAGGAGGACACACTGTGATATACTCCCACAGAGGGATTCTACAGGAGGACACATTGTGATATACTCCCACAGAGGGATTCTTAAGGAGGACACATTGTGACATCCTCCCGCAGTGGGATTCTACAGGAGGACACACTGTGATATACTCCCACAGAGGGATTCTACAGGAGGACACATTGTGACATCCTCCCACAGAGGGATTCTACAGGAGGACACATTGTGACATCCTCCCACAGAGGGATTCTACAGGAGGACACATTGTGATATACTCCCACAGAGGGATTCTATAGGAGGACACACTGTAATATACTCCCACAGAGGGATTCTACAGGAGGACACACTGTGATATACTCCCACAGCGGGATTCTACAGGAGGACACATTGTGACATCCTCCCACAGAGGGATTCTACTGGAGGACACATTGTGATATACTCCCACAGCGGGATTCTACAGGAGGACGCACTGTGATATACTCCCACAGAGGGATTCTACAGGAGGACACATTGTGACATCCTCCCGCAGTGGGATTCTACAGGAGGACACACTGTGATATACTCCCCCAGAGGGATTCTACAGGAGGACACACTGTGATATACTCCCACAGAGGGATTCTACAGGAGGACACATTGTGATATACTCCCACAGAGGGATTCTACAGGAGGACACATTGTGACATCCTCCCACAGAGGGATTCTACAGGAGGACACATTGTGATATACTCCCACAGAGGGATTCTACAGGAGGACACATTGTGATATACTCCCACAGAGGGATTCTACAGGAGGACACATTGTGACATCCTCCCACAGAGGGATTCTACAGGAGGACACACTGTGATATCCTCCCACAGAGGGATTCTACAGGAGGACACACTGTGATATACTCCCACAGAGGGATTCTACAGGAGGACACACTGTGATATACTCCCACAGAGGGATTCTACAGGAGGACACACTGTGATATACTACCACAGAGGGATTCTACAGGAGGACACACTGTGATATACTCCCACAGAGGGATTCTACAGGAGGACACACTGTGATATACTCCCACAGAGGGATTCTACAGGAGGACACACTGTGATATACTCCCACAGAGGGATTCTACAGGAGGACACATTGTGATATACTCCCACAGCGGGATTCTATAGGAGGACACACTGTGATATACTCCCACAGAGGGATTCTACAGGAGGACACACTGTGATATACTCCCACAGAGGGATTCTACAGGAGGCCACATTGTGATATACTCCCACAGCGGGATTCTATAGGAGGACACACTGTGATATACTCCCACAGAGGGATTCTACAGGAGGACACACTGTGACATCCTCCCACAGAGGGATTCTACAGGAGGACACACTGTGATATACTCCCACAGAGAGATTCTACAGGAGGACACACTGTGATATACTCCCACAGAGGGATTCTACAGGAGGACACACTGTGATATACTCCCACAGAGGGATTCTACAGGAGGACACACTGTGATATACTCCCACAGAGGGATTCTACAGGAGGACACATTGTGATATACTCCAACAGAGGGATTCTACAGGAGGACACACTGTGATATACTCCCACAGCGGGATTCTACAGGAGGACACACTGTGATATTCTCCCACAGAGGGATTCTACAGGAGGACACACTGTGATATACTCCCACAGCGGGATTCTACAGGAGGACACACTGTGATATACTCCCACAGCGGGATTCTACAGGAGGACACACTGTGATATACTCCCACAGAGGGATTCTACAGGAGGACACACTGTGATATACTCCCACAGGGGGTTCTACAAGAGGACACACTGTGATATACTACCACAGAGGGATTCTACAGGAGGACACATTGTGATATACTCCCACAGAGGGATTCTACAGGAGGACACATTGTGATATACTCCCACAGCGGGATTCTACAGGAGGACACATTGTGATATACTCCCACAGAGGGATTCTACAGGAGGACACATTGTGATATACTCCCACAGCGGGATTCTACAGGAGGACACACTGTGATATACTCCCACAGAGGGATTCTACAGGAGGACACATTGGGATATACTCCCACAGAGGGATTCTACAGGAGGACACATTGGGATATACTCCCACAGAGGGATTCTACAGGAGGACACACTGGGATATACTCCCACAGAGGGATTCTACAGGAGGACACATTGGGATATACTCCCACAGAGGGATTCTACAGGAGGACACACTGTGATATACTCCCACAGAGGGATTCTACAGGAGGACACATTGTGATATCCTCCCACAGAGGGATTCTACAGGAGGACACACTGTGATATACTCCCACAGAGGGATTCTACAGGAGGACACACTGTGATATACTCCCACAGCGGGATTCTACAGGAGGACACACTGTGATATACTCCCACAGAGGGATTCTACAGGAGGGCACATTGTGATATACTCCCACAGCGGGATTCTACAGGAGGACACATTGTGATATACTCCCACAGAGGGATTCTACAGGAGGACACATTGTGATATACTCCCACAGAGGGATTCTACAGGAGGACACATTGTGATATACTCCCACAGAGGGATTCTACAGGAGGACAC